GTATGATTTTATTTCTAAATTACACAAAATAAAGGAAAGGGCAAGCTATTCCCTAAACTGATGGGGGTGGTAGACTTTTATATTGTCTCTGTTATTGGATTAGTATTACTCATCACAGGATTCACATTAATATCTTCTACCAGTCTCCCCATTCAGTATTTTTAATCTCACATTATTCAGTTATGCATCCAATTTTTCTGTAAAGGCAGAGTTTCTTTTATCAGAACTGAATTGATGTGAATGCTGCGGTGAAAGTAAGAGGGTTGGTCAAAAAGTTTTGCACCATTTTTCTTGAATATACATTTCCTAATTTTTGGGATGGTTCTGAATATGGCAGAACATATGAAGTTAAAATATGAGAAGCATCTAGACATTCCTGTATAGGATTAACAATGAGGTGGGAATTACAATGAGGTAGGAGTTACAATGATTCAGGAGATATTTTAACAATTTAATCAACATATTCACCTAGAGGTGACAATGATATAGGGGCTCATATTATTTATGGTATCATTATTTAGTTGGTAATATATAATAACCAGTGTGCCATTATAAGCTAGGACTCGCAATAAGTTAGGGTTTCAAAATAAGCAAGGGAATAAGAAGTTTAATCTTTCATTATATGCTAGGGGTTGAAATACAGAATAAGCATAGGCAGTCATTGACCTATCCCCTACACTGATGAGGTAGACATCATGTATTGAGTACATGCCGCTCTCTTGGACAGGATGTGTATTATATGACAAAACAGAACTGCACGTATCCATGCTATTCCTAGAACCAATTTATCTATAACAAATATATTTTCGATGATATTATCTTAATTCTTTAATCTTAAATCGTGTAATCATTATCCAAAAAAGAAATCTGGATGTTGTCAAAAACTAAAAATAACTTTTTTACTACAAACCTTGAAATCGGATGCAGTGACTGGAAGTGGAACCATTCAGATTTTAAGTTGTCACTTGAAGTAGACGCGCATTCAGAGCTTGCTGGTTTAATTGCACAACAAGGAAAAACTTAAATGAGTTTCTGATGAGTTTCATTTTCAATGTTTGGTTTATTCATAAGTATGATTTTGGTTTAAGAGTTGAATGCTAAAATAAAATGGTTATGTCGAAGCGGACTTTTAGGTTCTTTTCTTGTGGATGTACCAGAAATGGTAAGTACTGTACATTTACTAGGATTAATTAATTTAATCATTGTACTTAGAGCTTAAAGGGATTCAAATAAGTTGATTACTTACTCTATTATACTATAAACACCATGTACCTCAGATGTGGTGAGGGGATGTATGTTCCCTTTAAGAATACTTTGCATTCATTTGAATTTGCTTCTTAAAAGAGAGCTTTATCTTCTTTCTGTTTTATGTCTACCAAAACCTCAAGACTGAAGAAATGAGATGACAAAGTTCATCATAATTGATAACACAGAGCTTTAGCTCAAATTGTGGCATCACACAGTTTAAAATCAAAATTAGAAAATTTTTGAGAAATTCAGCTGAAAAATTAGAACCTCTGGAAATTAGAGCCCTTATAATTTAGAGCTTCCTCTTTACTATAGATCTTTCATTTTCTCTTGCAACATTTCCAGATTTGAGGAAAACATTGAATTATGATGATGATATTGAGTCTAATTATCAAATTTTCAAAAAGAAATCTTTAAGTTCATTGAAACTAAAAATAAATCAGCCTTTTGTCTTTATTTTCTCTTTTTGAGGGGAGGGAAAGGAATATGATAAGCAAACAATTGACCACAGTGTTGTGTATTTTCTATAGAAGCCTCCTCTGCCCAAAGGTGCAGGGTGATGATTATATGTAAACACACCTGTCTTTACCTCTATCCCTGGGACATTACACATCAACAAATATATTTAATTAAATCTTCACATTTGGGTAATTATTAATATGCCAACATGTTTCAATAAAATCAGATTGAACTATTTACAGATATTTTACAATTATACTATAAGTTCAAATCTAAACCTAATCCCTCCATTAATATTTTATCTTTATATGCGCATCCCTGCTAAGCCGTTATTACCTGTTTTTTGTAATGTTAAAACATACTGAATTATCAACTTCAGACATATCAAAATTGACAATTCTTCTTTCATGTTGCTTTTCAATTACAAATTACAGATTGCTAAGATCATAAACAGAAGGTAGGTTGATAATAGCTCTATAAAACCGCTATTCTATACTGAAGCTCATGATAAATGGAAGATTTCCATGCTTTATCATACTCGCTTTCTCCCATCATCCTTCGTGCTCCTTCCGTTGTGTAACTGCGCTTCATTGTATCATGAATTATGTTCTTCTTCCTCGAAACTCTTATCTATGAGGTGATATTGAATTCTGAGCTGAGAGGCTTTCAATTATGTTCATATAGCGTATAATGATAAATGATTATTACATATTCACGATTTATCAAATGACATTCGTAAATCAAGCTGAATTCCTGACATGGAGCACCAATTTTATGCCTTCCTGGGAGTCTGGCAATCGTATTTCTTTTCGATGATATACTATTTTGTACTTTTAACATTTAGTGAATGGAATTCACTAAATTTCAAGGATTTTAAACCTTTCTAATGCGAATGTGGTTGGGGCTTGTTCAAAAAAGTGTTCACTGTAATAATGAAATGTGTTCATATATGCATTTCTGGTTACATGCAAGTCAATGTCAGCTATGGCCAAACCATTATATTTTGAGGTGTTTTCTTAAAGGGGCTGGTATCATACATACAATAATCTGGAAAACTTCAACATCCTGTTGATATTCAATTCAAGCATCATCGGAGACCATGGCTTTCTATCAATCATGGCTTTCTAGAAATACAGAAAGTAGAAAGAGTATAGGAATGACATTTATTGAATTGGTCCGTATGCTTAATTCAAATGGCACATCCTATGTTATCACTACTCCCTAAAAGCTCTGAAGTTGGCCTTGCTTGGTACTTTTTGTATATGTCACTATCAATCACTTCATCTACTCCATCCAGGTGTTCATACAAGCTAAAGATCCTATTAAACTTAAAACTTGAGATTTTTACTTGAGCTTCGTCAATTTTGTCATTTGTTGAGTATGATTAATTTGCTAGTGGTCATCAACTAGAAAACTCTTATTCTTCTCCAGCTTGAATTCGTAGTAACTAAGCAGCCAAATAGAAAATCCTCGTTAAATTAAGTAAGTGCCCCTTTGGCTAAGATTGACCAATACTGTTTTCAATAGTCTGTTTACAAGGATCATGATAAACAATGACATTTCATTTCTTCACTGGCTTTCAAGTCTGTTTTCCAAATAGATCAATTTTTCTCAAAAAGTAAATTTTGAAAATGTGGCCTTTAAAGGCCCACAAGAAATTGCTTCACAAAAAATTGGACCTTCTCTCAGGGCCCCTTCTTCCCAGATCCAGCAAGGCATCCTAGGAAAAAACGAATGGAATACTCTTTCCAATATTTCACCTTGATCTCTTGATCTAATGAGGTTTATTTCATCTGTCTGGGAAGAATACACTACACTGGAGTAAAAATGTATTAATATTTGTGGTGAAACTGTAAAATAATCTGTCCAGATCTCGCTGATCTGATTCAAGGTATGAAATGAAATTGTCTTCATAAATCATGGTCAGGTATATCAAAAGGAGTTGAACTAGAAATCATCTAGGTGAATAGTGCTGACCCCAAATGCCTTGCAGTGAAACACCAGTAAGGGACCACTATGAAAACTGGACTTTGATGTTTTTTCTTTTCGTAGTAGCTATCATCAACACTCATAAAAAGTGATGACAGTTACCTTTGAGATCATTAAGATCTGAATATCAGTCTGTTGTTGGTCATCCTAAAGATGGATAGGTTTCAGCAAGGTTGAGCTCTCAAGTGACGTGACTTATCAGTTTGAATTTTGGCAATGGTATAAAATCATCAATACAGTTCAGTTAGATTTTCCACAGTTTGTAGTTTTCTGTTTTGGCAGAAGTGACGATTTTCTGTATCCTGAGCCAGGCCAGGTAATATGATATTTTATAGGTGAAAGCAGTCTTTTGACGTGGGAGGGTACCTCTGGTCAATGCCAGAAGCTAACTGCATCTCATCAAGAAAACCAGAAAAAACTCAAGGATAAGTTCTGGACTCCGGAAGTCAGCGGAAGAGTTTACTATTATTAGACCAGTATCACTTGAGATCACACATTAAGATGTGCTTAGAATACTAATGTGATCCGAATTGAAGGATTTATATATATTTAATTTGGAGTTTTCAATATGTATGAAGGCGTGTATGCTGTTAATGGATTTTTCGATGAATTTGACAGTAAGTGTAGTGACTAGGTGTTTATAAATACAAAGTTAGGGTGACATGTTTAGTTAGGCTTTACAAGTGACAGGGGTAACAAGTTCAGAAAAAACATAGTAATGTTAACCTGTCAACGTCAAGCTTTTGTCAGTTTGTTTTAAAAAACTCTAAAATTGCTCAAAAAAGTTGTTTGCTTCAATTTTCTGAAACTTGATACCATAAAAATATGTGATAACAAGGGGAAAATTCTTATATAGTTGATATTATATTTAAAGATTGGAACATTCTTTAAGTTGTAGTCTAAAGTAAGTTTTACTTATCATTTTATCAATTAATTGATGACAATGTAATAGTTGACATATGAGTCACATCTGTAGGATAAGAAATACAAACATTAACTACTTATACATACTATCTATTTATGTTATATTGTGATCTATCAACTTTTTACTCATTGTATAGTTTTGTTTAAGTTTTAAGGAAGTTAAGACATCATATAGCTGTGATAAACCCTACATATATATAGTGTATCAAATAATTTTAACAAGCAACATGTAAGCATATAAAGATAATGTCTAACAATTCTTTCGTTTATTTTGTTTTTACGTGTTTTGTAGGCATTTGAAGACTTTTATGAAGCATGTATTTCTCTTAGTCTAATGCCATGCCGTTGTAATTAAGAATTATTTCACTTGTGTTTTTCAGGTTCTTCTGTCGATCTAGCAGATGGAATATTAGGTACATTCGACAAATTGTCATCCAATCAGAATGCCACTAGCCAGTCACATGACCAGGATAGAAAGACGAACAATCAAACCCTGGGGGACAAGATGGAGTGTAACCATAGCAACGAAGATAGTAATGGAGATCAAGTAGTTCCCTCTATGAAGGAGGATTTTGCGCATAATGAATTATTACCACCCCATATATATGACAATAAAAAACGGCCATTAAGTATCAGCTCAACATCTTCCTCATCATCTTCGACATCATCATTACCACGGCAACTGCGTAAAAAACTTGCGAGTCATGTGGAGGTTTCAGGAAGCCTAGAGGGAGGGGTGCGTCCCTTGGGGGCATATATAAGACATGGGGTACAGGATTTCCCTATGGATACCCTGACTGATGAGGAACATTGTTCTGAATTGAACGACAGTGAACTTACCACAGATCAAAGTACACTTAGTGTTACTACACCTGAAAAAGTAGATCTCAAAGATGGACTTGTGTCATCAAAACGTAAAGGATCTATTCACTCGTTACTAAATGAACCAGTGGATGCCAACAAGCTTTACATTGAGAGGGTGGTAGAAGAGATTCTGTTCACCGAGAGAACTTATGTCAGAGACCTGTTGGAGATTATTGAGGTAAGAATATTGACTTTAGATGTAGTTTCTTGAATGTTTCAGATGTTCAATGTAACCACAGCAATACCAGGGCTCTAGACTGCCTGGCATGGCATTAGATTATGGAGCAGCTCTGAATTTTAAAAAAAGACAACTGAAATGAATTATATGCCTTTTGAAACAGATCACTTGTTACTTTCTTGGACACCTGATCTTATGAATAATTGATTTGTTTGATAGGATTTGGATTATCGTGTCGCCATTCCTCAATTTGTAAATTTTAAATCATAAACATATTATGTCCATTTCCCTCATATTTTTGTTATAAAATAAGGCCATCTAGTCCACATGTTTTAACATATGTTTTTGAGAAATAACATACAACTTTTGATCTCAGTCCAGATTTGGCTCATAAACCTGGATTTAGCCAACTTTATTCTGGCATGGAGGACTATAATATAATATTGACTTGTGTGCATTGTAAGAAAAAACTTTTAGCTGACAATTAGAAAAAATGTTATGTCTTGCTAGTGCAACATTGTTTGTTGTTTCATGATCATTTGGGGTTACTATGGCATTCTCATAACCATCAGTTGCTATGGTTCCCAGATGGTGGCTGTTGTTTTTTCAGATTCTTAACTTTTGGCAATCTAAAATGGTTTGCATGGGTAGAATTGGCAATCGTTTTCTTACTGTCTAATATTGATTTTCAATTCAGAGAAAGTTTATGTATTTTGTACAAATTCAATAAAACTGGCCATTTACATTTAAATTTACATTGTGTAAATTTACAAAGTGAAAGTTGCTGTATAAAGATACCTAAATGTCCAAATAGTTTTTAAACTCAGTGTTTCAGTGTATGAACTTTATTCATAATGCCACACACAAAGAAGTTCATTGCATTTTAAAATTTTTCTTTTTGCTGAATTTTGTTTTGATGATTTTTCTAACCCATGGAGAGAGCATTATAACCTGACTTAGTTTTAATCGTGACGTAGAAATTAATTTTACACTTTTTAACAACCTGACTTGTCCTTGTTTTTCCAAAAATAGGCGCCAAATGTGGTAGCTCAGTAAGGGCTTAATCTAGAGAAAATAATCAGACTTTGATTTCATGTTAAGTAAAACCTTGATCGTAAACATAAGGCCCAAAGGAACAAAAGAAACATGTTTACTGGTTTGTCAAATAATAGTTGCCCGATTGTCGTGGTAGTATGATAATTTGACAAATAGTTCAATGAACAATCAGTAATAGATAGTTCAATGAACAATCAAAACATAAGATAATATGAAAATATCAAAGTATATCCAATATTAAATGTTTGTGTATTGCCAGACATTTGTCTCCAATGTTATGTCTTCTGTAGCATATGTTGAAAAAACTCCAAATTCAAGTTGAACTTTTTTACCCTGAACCAGAATTGCAATACATGGGTTGTAACTCTATCGTTATGTGATTTGTGAACCATATATGAACCCCATAATTATATTTTGAAAAGTGAGACTTATTTAATGAAAAATAATTGATAAGCATTCAACATAGTGTCAATGGGGAAAAAAGTATATTTGGCGCTGCCCAGTTTTAGCATTACATGTATTAAGGTATTCATTTGAAAAATGTACATGTCATTATTTGCTGGTATAATGAGTACATTGGGTATAAAGCTATAAAACATAGTCACATTGAAAACATGAATTAAATGGTATGGTTAATTAATTCATTAAAGGCTGGGTCCAGGCCTCAGCTCTGCATCTGTATCTTTTCACATTACAAGGTTAACACGAGAGGTAATTCAGTTCATTTACAGATTGTAACTATGTTTTTATACTCAAAAATGGTGTCAAATATTGTCCTTACATTATCATTTGTCTATTTTATTTATACTAACTTCATAAAAAATCACTAATCTTTTGTTGGTGTATGTTTGATACTTGATTGTTTTGTGCATAGGCTCCACTTGGTATTTTAATCATGTTAATAGTCAGTCTATTAAAAGATATTGACATTGTATTTTATATTGAAGAGAATGTGAGCTTGGAATCATAGGCGCAGGTGTATCTCGTATCATGTGGTCTTCAACATTGCCGTAATCAGCAGCATCAATGATGGCTTTGAAAGACAGTGTTCTGGGTTTTACATGGAGGCTGGATGGGTCTATAGGGATGACATTGAACTGTCTGGTTTACACCTGTACTGAGAAACTTTTTGAATCTGGGTTCACTTTATCCTTTGGGTCATAGCCTAGTTGATGAAGCAGAGCTGTCCTTGGAAAATCAAATTGGAATTGGTAGCATTATTTGATAGAATATCTTATATTGAGTTGTATATACCTCCAAATGTGTCGATCTCCATGCCTTTGTTTGTTTGTCAGTTTGTTTGTTTGTTTGTTTGTTTGTAACAGGTACATCAACATATAATATCTATATCCCACCCCATCTTCTTTGGAAAGACATTTGACTTTGTCAATATATAACTAATAATGATGTCACATACATAATTTCATTGGAATTCAGAGTACCACCCCTTTTAATTTTATCAAGTTAAATCAACTTCTGTTTGATTTATGTCCTACACTCATAATAAAGTTATCTCCCATTAATATATTACACTACAGTATATGTACAAAGATATGACATATTTACAGACATTTGCAGTATTGTATTTTATTCCATAGTTAGCATGATATTCATAGGATAACATGTCAAAATAAAAACTGTATTTTTGTAATCAGTGGTAAAATATGATATTTTTGACAAATTTTCACTTAACCATAGCATACGGTGTTTAAGTCATGACAAACGGCACCGTATGCTATGAATTATGGATTTTTGCTACTTCAGACTCAAAACGAGGCTAAGTGTCAACATCGCCGGAAAAGCCCTACTATTGGGGGGGGTTGTCTCTGTTGTATATTCTATTGACTATGATCATAACCAGTTCACATCAACAACTCCTTTAGGTGCTCCCAATAGCATTCATTTCAGAAAGGTCTTACTACAATTGTTTTTTCTTTAAGTTGAATTTGAAAATAATTTATCCTTTCTATTCCACAAGTCTCAACAAGGTCTGAAGTAGATTTAGCCTTTCAAACTATATTTCCTACATCAGAGCTTGTTACAAAAGACCAAGCTCCTGATTTGAACCAAGTGCTCTATACCATGATGTCACCATGAACCTTAAACTATATGAAGCAGCCTTTAGTAAATATAATTCAGTCCTCAACCTACTACTGTGCTCATATACTTCAATATTGGCATAAAAATAAATACAAATGAAAAAATTGAAACCGAGAGTATACAAAATTCCAAAACTCATCATACCCGAAATCAAAAGCCAGAGTACCCAAAATTAATCCCTGAGTACCCAAAAGTAAAAGGTAGAGTACCCAAAATTAATCCTAACTTAAAAGCCAGAGTACCCACAATTCATATATTTAACACTGTTAAGCCAAAATCAGTACAGATTGGAATTTAACTATTCCTGAAAATTTGGTTAATCTTTGATAGTTCGTGAACCAGTTTCAATCTAAAAAATGTTCGGCGACTTTATAAAATGTTTGTTCTTTTAGCTCATATTTTGATCATAGGTTACCAAGCCAAAATGATGTCATACAACTAATACAGGATTTAGACCTGGCGTATAGTATCTCTCTGATTATGGTGTTTTACTTATCACAATGGCCTTTTGTATAATGTCATCTAATAAATCAGGCTAAGATCAAAAGGCTATCACTAAATCAGGCTACTGATTTCTTTACACTAAAGGGCTATAGGGCACTTTGCTTGAATCATGAGTTATACATTTACTTATGTCATGCACGCCTTCTGGTGATATCTGATAAATTTATAATTTGTTGGATGCTAATTTGACACATGTATTACTCAATATACTGGTTCATTTTTTATTACTTAAAGCATGCCACAATGTCATTTCACCAAAACGTAGTAAACTGTATAAGAACCTCTCTCATTAACATTAATTTCAATTTTCAAATGTTTCTTTATTGACTCCCATGTCGAGAGACACTCCCTGTCAGTATAAGTTACAGTGACATACACTTTGGTAGACAAGTTGTTACTTCTATAGGCATTCACAATTTTTCATTTTTCGTTAATTCGGATGTGCATATTGTAAATGTGTCAAAAGCTCTATTGGAACAAACTGGAAGTACAAGTTATTTTTCGATTTAAGAACATGCCAGGCTTTGATATCAAAATGTTATTTGATTGATATCAGTATAGCATTGTAGTGTTATCATTCAAAGTAATACATATGTCATTGTTTTTTTAAACCGATGAGAGCTTCACTCATAAATGTGTATAATTGTCTCTATATATAGTTTTATGGTGATCAATTACTTCCACATATGTGACATATACATGAACATAAAATTATCATAAAGACTGAAGAATAAGGATGTCCTCTAGCTCAATGGTATAACATCAACCACATATTTCTAGCCAAAAATACAATTAAAAGATTTTTCTACTTTTAATTTGAACAGACATTTCCCCCTTTTCCCTTATGTTCTTAACCATCTACTTTGGTACCAAGTCAAATAGATCTGACATTCTAATTTTGTAACAACTCTGGATGTCTTGAAAATGTATAGAGATAAGGAAAAGATGTGGCTTTGGGAACGAAACCTTGAATATGGTTGTCAGGAAGTCTGGTGTTTCTAACATCCTTGTCTTTCTCTACCACACAGGATGTAATCTTTTATTGTTTTTTAATCTGTCCAAATATATTTTTCTGATTGTGCTTTTCGTTTCATTTTCTCTGAAATTAGAATGAAACATTTGATTGTGGTTTTACTTGTATATTGGCTGATTCATGCAATTTAGGTAATTTCTCTATTTTCGAACAGTTCTCTAATTTATACGACGACCAAACTAATGAACCAGCTAAAGTGAGAGAGATTTGGGGGAGGTTTTAATGACCACAGAGTAGTGTCCATCTAACATCCTGGCACTTGACTTGTGATTTTTTTTAATCACGAACCTTACAACTTGGGATGTGGTCAACTATTTTTTACGTCAATTGTTCGATCAAGTTTCTAATTTGCTCTTGAACATCGTATTAAGATCAGTTTCTGATAAGGAGTGTGCTAGGACGCTGACCACTTAACCTCAATGGACAACCGATGTTGTTTTGCAGGAACATGAAAACTAATATTTGATCAATTTGTGGTTCGTCTATTGTTTGATCCAGGTTAATATAGTGAGATAAGTGTGAATTGGATTGGTCAGTTACAGCTTTATTTCTTTAAAAGCGTGTATTCGGTAAACTTGTTTTTCTTCCTTATTTTTCTTCCGTGTATATGACAAATCCGACACATCTAAGCAATAAGATGATTTTGTACCTAATCTGCCCCCCTGTTATATTTTTTCATTGTTAATTTCTTCCTCTGATTGTCCCACAAGTGCCCTCTTTTGCTTCCGCGGAACAAACTGAGTTTAATTCAACTTCAATTGCCTTTCAGACCTTTCAGGAAAAAACATACATTGTGTTTCAATAGGCAACTTTAACACTTTGATCAGACTTACGATCAAATATCAATTTGGATAAAATACAATTTTCACTTAGATTTTTCATTTAGTGGAAGTGCTTGAACATTCACGCTATACCTATGGGATTATACAATAGACCTTCATAAGCCAAAGCTGTTCTCGTTTCTCAAAGGTTTTCAACCAGGATTTGCCTTATTATTCTGAGAGGCAAATGGTTTCTGACAGGAAAGCCCTCTTGAAGGCTCTCGTCTTGCGGTTTGGGGAACATTCTTCATACATGATCATGTACCTGTAAAATGTAAAATTAGCAGAATTTATCCTAGGGTACTTGAATAAAGCATCTATTTATTACTGGAATAACTTATCCTTGTAATATTATGCTTCAGAAAATGTTTCTTTTATGGTGTCAGTAGCCTATCATGTTCAAAATCTGACACCTCGTTAATACCTTCAATTGATATATCACGAAAATATTTCATATTACTTTTGAAATTGAAAGTTTAATATAATATTATTTAATTAATCAGTTGAGAAGTTGAAACGAAGGATGAAGAAAATAATGAAATAAAAGTGAGACCAGTGTTTGACCACATTTTTAGGCTTGGTTTTGTATTCACTAGACTTGACTTTATTTTCATTGTACTTTACTTTGTATGTTCCAGGGTTACTATGCATACATCCTTGACACCCCTGAGCTTGATATCACCCAGGAGGATATATGCTCTCTCTTCAGCAACATTGAAGACATCTACAGGTTTAACAGGTAAGGGTGAAATAGAGATGAGTGTTGGGAGATAGTATAGTCTAGCTATAAGCCCCTGTGACTCCCTCTCCCACAACTTGATTACATAGGTTAAAAAATTCTCACACAGGGGGAGGTGTGTAGTGGGGAGGGGGCCACAAAGGCTTGTAACTAGACTAGACATAGTAAAATAAACACTAGATTGAAATGATGGAAGCCTTTCCCATTTCTGGCTGATTTGGCTTGTATCCATAGACAAAATGCTTGATGGCCCAAGTCAAACAGCATAAAACATTCAATTTGTTGTCATAACAATGATGTTTTCACTGTTATTCGTTTGTTCATATATCTAGAAAATCTACCTTTTATGTCCCATATATCACATACCTTTATGTGGCTACTACAGAAATAACATAGTGGCTATGTATGCAGTTGATCTGCAGTTACCTGCACGAAGCGATATATCCCAGAATTCAATTTTCTCATTTTGAGCGGAGATTGAGGGTCTTGATTTTGCTGTTTTCAATTACAATGGCTACAGCCTTATGATAAATAAATTATACACATATATGGTATTTGGATCACATTGGCTGTGTTTTGTCTCGCTAATTTTTAGTTTGCAAAATTATTGAAATCCTCCCTTACTTGACTTCATAAACAAAAAAAGTGAACGGCAGTTGTAAAAATGATTGCTGGTCAATAGTTTTTTGGGATGATGTCACACTATGATATCACAATTATGAATCAATGGAAGGGTTGAAAGAATTTGATGATTTAAGAATTAAACTTATGTATTAGAGTAAGTTAGTTTGTTTCATATTTTCATCAATTAACTGTCAAAATTATAATATAACCTTACAGACACTGCACTCCATTGTGGAGTTCCAGGATACAATTTTAACAGTTAACCTCTGAACAGGTCAATAATTATATACAGCTATAACATTGTACAGCTATATCATTATACAGCTATAACGTTGTACAGCTATATCATTATACAGCGATAACGTTGTACAGCTATATCATTATACAGCTATAACGTTGTACAGCTATATCATTATACAGCTATAACGTTGTACAGCTATATCACTATACAGCTATAACATTGTACAGCTATATCATTATACAGATATAACATTGTACAGCTATATCATTATAAAGCTATAACATTATACAGCTATATCATTATACAGCTATATTATTATACAGCTATATCACTATACAGCTATAACATTATACAGCTATAACATTGTACAGCTATATCATTATACAGCTATAACGTTGTACAGCTATATCATTATACAGCTATAACATTATACAGCTATAACATTGTACAGCTATATCATTATACAGCAATATCATTATACAGCTATATCATTGTACAGCTTTATCATTATACAGCTATATTATTATACAGCAATATTATTATACAGCAATGTCATTATACAGCTATTTTATTATACAGCAATATTATTATATAGCAATATCATTGCTATACAGCTGTATTATTCTATGAATGGTATAGAATATTTGAGATATAATACTTCCAGCAAGGATTTGATATAAGCAATCATATATTTATGAGTGTTGGTTCCACAAAGTCTACGAGTTGAGAGCTATTTGTGTGCCAATGTAAACATTCAGATAAACCCTGTCATTTCAGTGTACCATCAATGCTTCAACAGCCTGAACCAGAAAATGATATAAAGACATTGATATCTTAAGTGATACTATTTCTTATTATATTACCTGGATACGTGGATATATGCAATAAACATCATAAAGAATGAAGTACTATTTTTTTCCATGCAAGGATATAGTTTTATTAATTCTACTTGCTTATTGCATTTTGAAAGATAAATGTCCTATATATTCACTTGACCTCAGATTATTGTTTCAAGCAGGAAAACATGATTTGAATATATACAGTATCATGTTTTTCCAATCTGTTCCCCTGATAAGTCTATGGCCCACCTGTTTGTGTATCACATAGCAGTGTCCAATTCATTAAAATGGAAAAATAACTCAATTTATGAAACCACAAGATCACGATTAGTTAAGATTTTCCTGAAGGTGACATGTGGTGATTAAACCACTAGAAAGTCCAGGAAATTGACCAAATGTTAAGTCTGGCTTTCCATCTGTTGGTAGACTAGGGGTAAAATTGTAATTGTTATTATTTGGAACCAAATGGCTAAGGTGGCCTAAAATGCACCTGTTGTATTTTTAAATAAGTTGAAATTAATTGTAAATTGAGATTTTGTAAACATCAATTGAAACTCAACCTTGTGTTTTTCTGTTCAGATTTCCAGTAGTTGTATTTATAGTGAATCGATTTCAATTTATATATGTGATGCTATAAAGTGAATTGTTTTTTTCCAGTACATTCCTTGAGGGGTTAGAAAGATGCGGAAACGACCCTGTGAGGATAGCGGAATGTTTTGTCTCCCAGAATGAGGGTTTCCCCATCTACACCCATTACTGCACCAACTACCCAGAGTAAGTCAGAAAACATGAAATCTAGTTTACCGAAAAAGGTCCATTCATTGTAAAATATTTCTTCCATGTCACCTATTCAGCCAAGACCTCCTCCAAACCCCTTTACAACTGTATTAACTTTGCTCTGTTTTGTTGTTATCGTAATCTTCTATAATGTCAAACACACGGTGACATGAGATGAACCCGTTAATTGATTTGAATAAACTGATCAGTTAAAAGAAATAATAATATTTTATGGTGAAATAACACACTTAAATGAGAAAAAGAGAATCATTAAGATTATTAATTGTTTATAAGATATTATTTCAGCAATAGAAATAAGATTATGACTTCCATCTCTCAAATATGCTCTTAAGACTAATATTATGCAAGGTTGATCTGTTGCCTAGGTTAAGAATGTATGTGCAATACTTTGTCCTCATGTTTACATAATCGTTAAACATAGTCTGCTTATATTCTATGCATCATCCCAGAAACCACGTAATATGGAGTTGGGTTACATTGATCGTTAATACTTGGGGAATATTCTACATTCTAATTACCATTCAGGGCTTTTAGAAAATATCAAGTAAAACCATCAATAAAATTGGAAAACAGTTAAACACACCTCTGTAGCAATATGTCAAATTTTGTACATTTACTCTGCAAGCTGAAGAACTCTTTTGCCATTTCCAAGTGTATTTCTGTTATGTTTTTATTTTATTCTTGAATTCAATGTTTTTAAGAAGTTGAAATGGACATACAATTTTAAAATGAAAGAATCATAGTCCACATTAAAAGCTGGGTCAGAGATGTCTACAAAATATGCAATATCTCTAATGTGGCAAATATCAATAGGGATTCAAGATACAAATAAGCAATCCTGAAATGGCATTGATGTTGTTGTTGTATTACAGTGCTGTTGCCATACTGACCAAGTACATGCAGGTGAGGTCCACGGCCGAAGTGTTCAAACAGCGTCAGATGGCTCTGAAGCATGGCCTCCCACTGGGGTCATATCTCCTCAAGCCAGTGCAGAGGATACTCAAGTACCACCTACTCCTTCAGGTAAGCTATTCAATGTAAAGTCATACTCCACCTTAATTTGGAACCAGGATACAATGGCAAAATGATCTTGATTCAGATATACCAAAATTAAATGTAAATCTAAATAAATACTGAACGTCAAAAAATGTTATTGGTACAGTTGATACAACCTGAATGGAAGTCACTCTAACCCAACATGTCTGGAATATGATACTTTTCAATGGCATCAGTTTTGCCCCCATGTCCTGTTGACTAACTTTTGAATATTTACAATGAAATCATGGGCTCATCTTCCCTGTTTACCCTTCTTAGTTGATCTCTATTAAATTCATATAAAATCTCTTGCAGAATATCGTTAAGCGCTATGATCAGGATGCCCCTGGGTATGACACCCTAGTGGAAGCCTTGGCATCTATGACGTGTGTCTCCCAGCATATTAATGAGATGAAACGCAAACACGAACATGCAGTCCACGTTCAGGAAATCCAGAGTATGCTGTATGGATGGGAGGGGGAGGACCTCACCACGTATGGGGAACTACTCTTAGAGGTATGTTGAAAGAGGTTAAGGATGATATAGGCTCATCCTTTGCAATGTTGATGCTATCTATTTTAATTTGATTTATGTATAAGACATGAATGGAGAAAATGTCAGTTGTTGTTGTCGTTCACTTTCATGAGATGATGACTATCAAGATAACAAGTGTGATTTATAAAAAATTCCACTGGAGTAAAAAATCATCAATTTTAAAGATTTCAAGGTTCTTAGTTATAAGAAAGTTCAAACAAAAACTTTCAGTTAAGTTTTGTTGTTTGTGATTAGAATTGAAATTTAGTGAAATCTTGAATACACACAAAATATTAAGACAAAACTTGGCTTCTTTAAATACCAGGTGTACCATACATGTTTCATGTAGACTAATGATAGTTACTCTTCCCAGTGTAGCAATCCATGGTAGTGATCAGCACTACATAAATTGCCACATGTTGTAACACGTTTGAAGAACTTTTGTAAAGTGAAGAACTAATTCATGTATTGTTTCTAGGATACATTTCGTATGTGTGGGGCCAAGGCATTTCGTCACGTCTTCCTATTTGAGAAGACTCTTCTTATCACTAAGAAACGAGAGGAAGGGATGTTGTCCTGCAAGGCTGCAATTCTGGTGAGTTGTCTTATTTCAGGAACTTTGACCGAAGCACAATAGAACAGAACTCTTAGATAGTAATTGATCTTCCTTAATATTAAGTCAATGAAGTTGGTGCTCACTTGAAAATTTGTGCTCACTTGAGATAAGATCATTTATTGCATTTTCCATTTTCATCACTTTGAAATGTTTTGTTTCATTATGTTTTCAAAATCTTATTTCTTTTTCCTTCTACCTCTGTATATATTTAGAGAATACATTTTAACCTAAAATTTTAACATTTTATTCAAAATGGTATTTATGGTTGAAATAATATATTCTATCAATATGTACTTTGAGGTCAAAAATCAAGTCATGGAAAAAGCTAACTGTCTTCATCTCACATGTATAGCTGAGAATTCATGATATCTTAAGCTAAAATGTGGAATGCAAACATTGAGTTTATAATCAATTTTGTCAGTCTTTTATCTGGTTAACATTGTTTTGAGGTTTAGATGTGTGACTTTTGACAAGATAAGCTAAGAAAATTGTCTGGCTGCCCAAGGTAACATCTAGATTAAGTGATGTACCCTTACAATAGGCTGAATGTGGGCGCAATAGTACATTGCTCCAAAATGGATATGGGAATTAACAAAAAGTATAAAAGGCAATGTCAAAATTTCCAGTTTGAGTAATTCAATTAAGAATATTGTTTTTTTGTTGTTTTCTATTTCAGATTAAAACATTAAAATATACAATACATAGACTGCAAAAGTAAAAACATTGTTCAAAATACTGGTTGCAAATGTTAGGGTTTTAAACATATCAGATAATTTCAAATGGTAGTTCATTTTTATTTTTAATAGAATTAAGTGTATAAAGCAATTCAATGTTAAAGTAAATCATTCACAATGAATTTATACACCTGTTTTTGTTGTCATTGTAAAATTGAGTCAGTGACCCTGGATTTGATGTTTTTAAAAGAGAGTCTTCATCAAGTACATTTATTCACAATAAGAAATAATATTACACAAAACTGACAAATGATTTTGTACCCAAGTACCTTTTGTGAAAATTTGAAAATTGGAACAACCTTGGATCTGGGCTGGGCCTGTCAGTGATGCATTTTGACTTGTCTAATTTTTTTGTTATTTTCATACCACAAATATTTATCTGGACATTTTCTAAATATTTATAAAATATTTATCCTATTTAACATTATATTTACGGCATTTTACCACCATTGGTATTTTGCTTTCATTATTATTCAGGAATATTCAGATCATATTATGATTTTAGTAGTTTCATATTTTCCAGAATACCACACATGCAAACTTTTTCAAACATATGTATGGACATAATTTTTATCTCTTTATTAGCTCATTCTATATGCATTTTTCATTTTTGAATTTTTATCCCTGCTGTATGGAGGTAAATTTTAGCCCTGTATTCCTTTTTAATATGCACTTTGATTATTTGGATTTTTTCATTCTATTTTTTCCATTGATCATTTCATATGTACAGTCTCAGGTATGATATGCCCAGACCATACCTTTGAACCTGAAGCATGCAAGTCCACAGAATCCAGGGCTTAAGACATGGGGGCTGCCCTTGTAATCTAGTATTATATTGTCAATCCATGCTTATCAAAACACATATGTTATGTTTAGTTTGGCAAGGTAATGATCCCCTGATATAAATGATATAAATGATTTGTTTTGAGGTGTGGATTTTAATAAAAGTAGCAAAATTACAAAGAAAGTAAATGAATAACCATAATGTCTGTACCCTGAATTATATAAAAATGTAAAAAAATGACACATTTTTTCAGTTATTTTGAAAAAAAATCAAAATCCATCGATTCTGTTTAGATTATTTGATAGGGCCTGGGATTGCCTTGGAATGCAATTGAGGACTGACTTTATCTACATATATATGTAATGAGCCAGTATTGATCAGCCGTACAATAACATTGCTCACATTTTACAAATATTTTCACTTATTTTGACACATTCATAGACACAAGATTACTCAGAGCAAGGGTGGGGTAGATTTAATGAACAGATCATTAATTTTATATAGTCAGCTGAATCTTGTTTTTATATGCATTTCCCTTGTTTTTAATAAGAATTGCTTTGAATAATGTTCATTGGTTTACATATACTATTAAAATAATTTATTTCAAAATATTATTTACTGGTATTTAATATGGAGATTACTGTCTCAAAAATGTAAGTTAAGGATCCATTAGTAAAAGACAGTATTCAATATACCTTAATAGGTAATCATTACCTGTACTAAAAGAACAATAAATCTTATCATCAATCTTAGCGATATTTTATGAATTTTTCGTCATTGTTTCCTTAGAAATGTCACGAAAATGCACACATAAAATTCCCATAAAAATCAAGATTTCTGAATGTCCAAGCAAAAGTATAACCATTTTTATTACAACTAATCTTGCTGAAATGCTCATATTTTTCCCTGCCTGGTATTAGATTGAGCCATTTTATAGTTCTATTTTACACTTTCCATCCAACATAACGTAAACTACATTGGTGGTTAAAGCCAATAAATCAAGCTAATGTCCCTAAATTGTTTATAAGTGCAGCCAGACAGGCTCACTAAGACTCCAAACAGGGGTCTGTGTTATACCCTGGGGACACCAAGGTCAACTGACATTTTTTGGGACTTTTTATTACTTAAAAAATATTTGAATATTTTTGTCTCTTAGGATATGTCTGTTTTATGGTTTCTATTTGTTTGGTGAATAAAGATTATCAGTTTAAAGATTGTTAAGATGACAGTGATGTCTACGGTATTTGACCTCATAATAACATGTTTTCCCCTACCTTATTTGGCCTTATTTATGTAAGGTTTACAGGACTTTTTGTTTGTTTTTCAAATGGTGTCTCTGTGTGTAAAAGAAAGTTTCAAGGGATGGTTTTAAATGGACATGAAAATCTTCCTTTTTTTCATATAATTTGTGAGGTAAAACTGTGACAGAAAATCAATCTCTAAGTTGCAGAATTACTTAAATATAAGTAATTGTTCTATTTTATTGATTCATTCATCTTTTGTGACCACCTACTTTGATTAAATTCAATTAAAATTTCAATCAATGTAAAAGACCATGACTAAATACACATGCGCTGATAAGTTTGATAACATTGTGTCGTGACTCAAGCTAAGGTCAGATGATATTGTAATATGTCTATGTTTCTTATGATAAATCACTTACATATATAACTACTTGTTTTATCATAGATAGGGACACATATTTTAATAAAGCATTGGTCAGTTGTCCTTAGAAATAAACTTTTTCGATTAGGGTGGCTAAAAGTTTCCGGTTTTCAATAATTTCCGTGTATCATTAATTTTAAGGATACTGTTTATGAGGGTATTGTTGAGGTTTTGAATTTTCTGTCTTGATTGTTGGTTTTTCAGTGTTCCGGGTTTATTTTTTATCTTGTTTTGGATTTAGCTTAATGTCTCAAGGTCATAGTATTGTTGAATTAAATCATACTTAAAATTATCAATAATTTTAATGTACATGAGGTTAGATTTTTATTTACTTTGGCAAACATTAGATTGAATAAATTGTAGATATAATCTGTTTGGTAGTCAGTAACAAAACTGTAACATGTTTTCGTGTTTTGAACATTTGTTTTCCTGTCAATAAGTGAATTTGCTTTGTACAGTTCTCAAAATTTTCCAAACAAATCCATATCTTGGTGTATGGACATACATTGTACTCACAGATAGTAACCTGACAAATAATATAAGTAATATATGGAGGACTTCCCATAACCGTGATTGTACTATATACCAGGAGTTTATGCAAATCTACTCTATGTTGAAATGAATTTTAAGGATACAGATGCATAATACTAACCTCTTGACTACCTGGAGTGACGAGATATCTCGTCACCTCAGAAATGACCTGAAAACCCAGAGTGACGAGAAAATCCGTCACAAAATTTTTCACTAAAATTGCTCTTATTTGAACAATTTTCATCCAATTTACACAAAACTTGTTTTACAATTTGTAGAAATGATCTCTGCCATCTGATTATACTAAGTTGAGCATCTAAATCTGTATATGTAAGTAGTAAAATGTCAAAAGGTGGCAAAATAAAAAATTCTCTGGTTTCAACTGATTTTAGAGCCTGGGATTCAAGAGGTTAATCCATTATGATTTTACTTGCAGTGTTCCAATCTTATGCTGGTTGAGAGTATACCAAAGGAACCTCTTAGTTTCCACATCATTCCATTTGACAGTCCCAAAAGCCAGTATACATTACAGGTAGGTATTTGCCATATGGAGTGAACCATAGTTTTATATTCCAGCCCCTTCATTCACTCAAAGACATAACATGTAGTTTTAAAATCCCAAGAATAACCATACCCAATAGGAATTTAAAATAAGAAATTCAGAAGGCAATTGAACTCAAATTAAACTTGTACATCACAAACTAGAGAAGAGGGAGTCAGTGTCATCCATATAGGTTATTGCCAGCCCCTCAACACTCCAATTTGCCCGACAATTGCCTCCCTGAATTTTACTGTAAAGCTTGTATGTCAACATTTTTTCAGAATTATTTTCAAAAACTCCCAGTTACTTCCATGTTAACAGTACATCTTTCACACCCATCGCCTTACACACATTTTTATATGAGTTTCATAAGTAAGCTTCATTTTCCAATGGAAATTTTTGTTCTGTGAGATGTTCAATGAGATGTATTAATAAATATATTACAGGCGAAGTCTCTGGAGCAGAAGAGACGCTGGTGCCAAGAGGTAAAGAAGGCAATACTTGAGAGCTTTAAGTCCAAAATACCTGAGAAAGCTAGAGAACTTGTCATGACTCTTGGCCATAGCAAGGATGAAGGTAGGTTTTAAATCCATTCTCTTTTAAACAGCTTCAAGCTATCTTTACATATTTATATTTATATCTTAACACCAGAATTCACAAGAGACACTGTTTAACTTTTTAAATGTTAGAGACTTAGATTTATATTTGCCACTCTCCTATTATATCAAATTGATAAATGTATATTTTCATATTGATGTAGAAGCTGAACTGGAGAATAAGGACCCCTCTCGGAAGCAACATCATGCACCAGAATATCTCGAGAAGAGAAAATCACGCAGGAAGTCAGGTACTTTTATATCAGGTAGCTTGATGTTGTAATATTAGCATGCTTGTTTGTTGGCTTTTAACAGGGGGTCTAAAATTTGGGTTTTTCTTGAATTATATAATTCAATTTTTGTATGAACTTTATTCATACAGTTCAGTAACTGACACATTTTCACTTCTGTCTCACAATAATTTGTGATGACTTAATATGAAATTCATAATTCTCTTAATCGAGTTTGAGATAAAGCCCTAATGCTTGAAGATGAATATATCTTTCTCAATTGTGGTCATGGGTATAAACACTTCAACACTTCTCTAAGTGAACACCTCAAATGGATTCTAATTCCACTTTCCTGAAAGTTCATATCTTAGATCTCTGATGCTAGCTTAATGCTTAATGCCACACAGTAACCAATAATCTTTGCGAAGATGTTTCTTATTCAGAATTCTTTATAACCACACAACCAGTCTTGTACTGTGCCTTGTATAGATAACTAGTTATTTTAAGATGTGTGTTTTACGTAGTCATCTTGACTGAAGGTTGAACTGTTTTACATAAATGGGTCAATGATCAATGTTTTAGGAAAACTCCTTAACATTTTTAAAAATTGAGAGAAAGACTTTATCGATGGACTTTTTTGTGTTTTACAAATCTGATATGTACATTAAATGAAAGTTGTTGATTGTGAATCTGATTTTGTTTATTTATAGAGTTTAGCCTGCTGAAGTCTCAGCGATCATCCCCAAGAGGAAAGAAAGGCTTCACCAGAAAGGTAAATTGCACTTCTCATATTTCTACATCTTGTAATAATGAATATCTTATATGCCTTGATTTTGTCAACTCTGAAGATCTGTTCCCCTCTTCCTTTTTCTAGCCACATAAATGGATACTTAAAATAAACTTGACTTAACACATAATCACAGTAGCCTACAATACATTTAGTGTATCTCTATCCTAATATTCTCTGCATTATGAATAAATGTACTGTTGTATCTTATATGTTCATGTACATATTATCTACATGCATTGATGTACTCATAAACATGTATTACTATACTTGTGCACATAATACATCCATGTCGTTCTGATACTCATAGCATCTTTCTGTTTCACCTGAAACATCTCAGGGGTGAGAAGAAATGAGATGTCATGGTTTATCATGATGCATCCATGTACACATTCTAATACTATGTGTGTCTAAATGTGCTTTAAATAATTATTTGTAACATTTCTCTTGCAGTTGTCTGTTCCTAACTTTGCATCAAAGTATAGTCCAAAAAATGTAAGTTTTAACAAGATTTTCAATTGCTAAGCCCTGTTATTCACTCCATTTTCTATAAATACAAAGTTATATGTTTCTAACTCAACTCTTAATAGCCTTGACTGTTTCACTGGTTTTGCACCTGTTGACTGCTAATTCGTAAGCAGGAACCAGGGAAAGGCCAGTTTTGTTAGTGTTATTAATGGCAGATTGATAAGAACCAATAACTAAAAACTTTTAAAAATCAACCATAATACTATTGTATCATTGAATTCACGCTGTCATCTTTTATAGAACTGAAATGTAGGTCAAGTTTAGAAATGCTTATGATTTAATGCCTGTAGTAGTACAATATACATCATTCATTCATTTGACATTATATTTGAATCATGCTCTTGTATTGCCCACTCTCAATTTCTTTAATTTCATAAAATTAATGGTTATGGGTTAATTCCTTTGTACTTGATCACTTCATATTTCCATTGGCTTACATATAACATGACATTCAACATTGATAATCTGAAGCTGGGCAAACATAATGTAGCAGAGTCAAGTTTGAAGGGAGCAAGGCAGTCGAGATTTTTTTTAAAATTGTCTATTCACATACTCTTTCAAAGGAATCTGAAAAAGGTCCATGAACTCAAATGATTTTTCAAAATTTGCTTGCCTTGTTTGAGATTCTGGCTACATGATTGTAAATGTTCAATATGGTGAATTATGCTGTTCTATCTTGCAGTCTCCCTCCACAGCAAGGAAGCAGAACAGTAAAGAGAACAGCCCTGTGTCAGAAGACACTCTGAAAGAGGTAGGTTTTTAATTAAAATAAGATAAATTCACTATTGTCCATAAAAAATGATTTTACAACTTTATACGTATTACTGTAAACTACAAATCCTGAAACCTTTCTGTATCACAGTTGGTATTAACCTTGATTATTTTGATAATTATTGGATGAAAATGAGCTTTTTTGAGGAAACATAGAAATGAAATACATGTATTCATTATTTTTATTGTCTCTCCAGGAAGAAGAAAATGCACAAACTGAGGTCCGGGAGCCTGGATTAATCGAGCGTCGTAGTCGTAGTATGGAGAGTATATGCGACAGTAAAGACTCTGGTCAAGGATCAGGGGAGAGTAGTCATCGGCAGTCCTTGTATGACTCTGCTGATGCTGGTTGCTATGACGATGCGTGCCCAAGGGCTCACCGTATCAGTCAGCTTCTAAACAATGAGGGCCTAGAAAGACAATTAAGCTCAAAGGACTCCTTGGTATCATGGGATAAAGAACTGGTGTCATCAGTTCTCAATGTTCCAAATATAAAACGTGCAGAAAGTTACAAAATGGCGGCCAAATTAAATCGTGTGGATTCTAAAATCATACGAGCACAGATACAAAAAAGACTGAGTAGTACAGACAATGCTCAAACTGAGACTGAAATGGAGATTGATGATGATCTTTATGAAATTGTCACAGTGAAACGGCTAGACGACGGTTATGTGAACATTGAATACAAAAATGAAGGGTCGGAAAATGAAGAATCTCCCTATGCGAATGTGATCTTAAGGCAAAGTAAAACAAATCTATTATATGATGACAATGAGAAGGATTACATAGTAGTACACACAGACAATCTCAAATCTAGTCCAAATTCAACCCCTTCAAACAATGAGAAAACTCCTAAAAGTGAGAACTCCACTGCCAAACATTCAACCCCCAATAGTGCCATAAATGATGAGGGAATATATGATAACATCCATAGACCATATGATAACATTCACTTTAATATGAGTTATGAGGAACCCGCTCTTTCTAATTCCAGACCCCTTATCTCCCCTATAGACATGAAAGCCTTAGATGAAGTGTTCAAACCCTTACAGAGTCCCCCTGGGACGCTCAAGGCTGTTACAAAACCAGTTGCATTTAGGCCTGACAGCCCAGACAAAGTGTTGCACTTGACACGTAGTATGAGCTCTGGAGACACTGATGACCCTTGGATACCAAGGGAATCAAACAACATCCCAAGGAGCCGATCTGATAACACAGAGTTTGATAGACTTGAGAAATACTTCCTTGAGACATCATTAAGTGCCAAACCAAGGAGGCACTCAAGGGCTAGACATCATAGGCAAGTGTCAGATACAACGGAAATGTTTTCCAATAATTCAGGACTTCTTTCCCCAAAACCTGGCAGACGTGACTTCAGGTACTGTACACCACCAAGAACATTAGAGGCTGATTTTAAAGCAGCTATGTCAGGTGATAAAAAGTGTGAGCAAAATATAATGCAAAGGTACGGTACTCCCCCCAGAGAAATCCCAGAACCAGGCAGGTTGCCACATAGTGTCTCTGTGGAGCCTGCATGCTCTGTGGATAACCCTAAGAAATTGCCATCTCGCTCCAAGAGTTTCCCATCCAGGCCTAGGAGAAGTCAAAGTGAAACTGCCATGTGGAAGGATATTGAGGATTATTCATTGAGTGCTACTGAACATTCCAATCCATTGCCAAAATTCCCTGTCTCCAATGATAAGCCAACTCGGCCCTCCAGTATGTATAGCCCAGTGTCTAGTAACTCTACATCCCCCCAGGCCTCAAACACAAGCCCCAGCCATAGTGCGTCAAGTGAGAGCATTGTGGGTTCATTCAAAACTGCCATGGCTCAACTGACTTCAAAATTGAAAGGTCGACGTCCCTTGAGTCCTCATGCCATATCAACTGCAAGTAGTTCCCTAGAATCTAGTCCCTCCCATAATATCCATACGCCAGAGAGCATCGAAGAAGAGGGTGAGTTTACAGAGGGTAGCACACAGAGCAGCCCTAAGAAATATTATGTCTATAAACTAGCCAGACAGTACAGCAAGAAACTGCGCAGTGAAGTGAAGATGATTGAAAAGCGAATCAATGGACATGGTGGTAATAGTAATGGGGCTAGTGGTGGGAAATTTAAAAAGGACAAGCAATTGTTATCTCTATTAAAGGACCCAGGGAGTGTATCCATTGGGGCAAGAATGGCAGAGACTAAACCCATTGTGCTTGGGACCACATATTCTCTCCCTAGACAGAGACCACCTCGCCCTAGAAAGGATATTAAAAGCCCTGACGTTGAGGCAAACAAATCAGATACCTCCAGTCATGAGGGAACTCCAGAGAGACATTTTGAACATAAGATTGACGATGACAATGCTTTGCTTGCTGCCTATGGACTTGCAGACAACAGTGCATCAGACTCAATGGGTAATGAATCAGATGCAAGTTTCTATGAAAAACAATTAACAGATGTATTGGAAAGAAGTGTTGATACAACACCCAATGGAGGAATATCACATGACCAAAATACACCAATCAAATCGAACGCCACCAATGAGAATGTTTCCCATGACTCGGCAGTATATAGTGATAATGACACTGACCACCAAGATAGTCTCATAAAGAGCACGATCAAAGACACGGTTAAAAATATAGAGGAAAAATATAGAAATCGGCCAATTAGGAAGTCTGACACACACAAACGTGCACGGACTCCTGGTATAGAAGAAAAACTGCAAGCTCTCAAAGAACATGTAGAGGGTAACATCACGAAAACTGATATTGATGATTTGCCTCAAACTACTTCAGTCCGAGATAGGAAGATTGAATTAATTAGAAATTATCAAATCGGGGATTCAGTGAACCGTGTTGACCGATACCGTTCAAGGACACCATCTAGTGGTACAGGGACCCCTGGGAGCCCATACTTTGATATGTCAGGCTCACAAAGCGAGGATGATGCTCTAAGATCTGTTCATGTTAGAGATGTGATTCATAAATTCCAGAATGAAACATCTGAAAGTGAATCCTGAAATTCTGTTCTTAGAGTAAAGTTTCAGACAATTTCATGAGGCGACGTTTGAAAATGGGAAGTGATGTTTACACTTTAAAATAAACTATTTTGTGAATATCTATTATGTAATGATGACTTTTTATACCAATCTGTAACATAATCAGGTACTATATCAGCATTTATGATTCATATTGCTCCATAGGTGAAGACTGGTTTCAATGTACTGGAAGTCGTTTTAAACAAGACATAAATTGATGCATACACACACATGAAAAAATGGATGCTGAACAGAAAATGATTGGGTTTCTAAGTCACTCTGATCTCGCCAGGTTTTTCCCAAATGGTGCGCTTAATCCTCATATTACCTCTTTTGGTTAAACAGTGTGATTAATTTATCCTTTTGACAGGATGCAAACAGATTCTGAGAACATTTGCATCTAGTATTTCAATTAACAACACCATGTTGCTGCAATGTTGGCCTTGGGGAGACAGAGTCACTCAGAATTGCACAAACTTTGTTTTAGTTTTTTTACATTCATATTGTGTGTGTATGTGTGAACCTAAAAAGACAATGTTCAGCATCAATGTACGTGAAAGGGTAGTTTTCAAAAGAACTGTCTTTGTATTTCAATGTATTTATTATCATGTAATATTGTATTTCTATGTGTATCCCAAGCTTTTCTTACTGACTTCCTATTTGCCTCATTAGTTCATAACCACCATTGACGTGAGGCACTCCCTTTGACATTTCATAGAAATTAAATGTTTTTAGTTCAGAAAATATAGACCAAATCATTTAAGTCGTAAAATGTAACAGGGAGTGCCTTAAACATGTACTAATGATATCCTATAATCCACTAAGAATATTTAAACAACTTTTGATTTTCTGAGTACATTTAAGATTTGATCGATAAAATGGAACTTTGCTTTTAAATGCACAAATGCTGCTTCAACGTACAGTACAATGTAATTGTGTTATAGTATATGTTCGAAGAAATGTATTTTGTGTGTGATTTATTTATGCTGTCTGTACTACATATATATATGTATACATGTAAAATATTGTGAATGTGAGGTGATACACATTGTAGTGTTAGCCTATGTAGAGATAAAGACACATGCATTTCAAATTGATAAGAATGTCAAAAACTTCAAAGGAAGTGAAATGAATTGAAAAAATATTAATTTGACTTCAGAAGTCTATACAGAGAATTTTATTTTGTTTAATTTAGTATAAACCAAAACCATTTGAGTTGTTTTAATTTATATATACATTTTTAATCAATTCAAATTTCAACCATTGAACTGTTTCTAAATGCTGCCTTATTATGAGGAGTTGAATTTTATAAATGTTGAATGTAAATGTACAAGCCTTTCAAATGCCATGTTTTCTGTTCTGTCTGCTTCCATACATGCCATAAATGTATTTACAGTTCAAGCTCACATTTGAGAGATTGGCACCTGAATCACCATGTTATGTGTAGAAAAGAATAGAAACCATGCCATTCAAAAGGAATTAAGTCCACTTTGTGTGGGGCCTTAGACTTTAAGGATTTCAGGCCAAGACATTAAAATAATTTGATAATGAGTTGAAGGACCTGTTAGAACAGGTGGACAATGATATATAATGTACAAATAGTTAGGCTATAAATCTTTGAATATCCACTGTACAGCATGGCCAAATTTTTGCAAACAAGGGAACATAAGCTCATATGTGACCACTGGATCAATTGTAACCAATAGATCAATGTTCCAATAGGTTATCTGTATCCAATGGATCATGTGTTTATCCAATGGAACATGTGCATCCTAGAGAATTGTGTGGGCCATGTTTATCTAATGGACCATGTGTATCCATTTGATCTTGTCTAACCAATGAATCATGTGTTTCCAATGGATCACGTGTAACCAATGAATCATGTGTAACCAATGAATCATGTGTGACCAATGAATAATGTGTTTCCAATGGATCATGTGGAACCAATGAATCATGTGTGACCAATGAATCATGTGTTTCCGCCAATGGATCATGTGAAACCAATGTACTTGTTTAATCAATGGACCATGTGCATTGAATGAATTTTCTGTAATCAATGAGCCATGTGTTTCTAATGGATCATGTGTATCTAATGGATCATGTGTATTCAGTGGATCCTGTGTAATGAATGGATCATATGTATCCAATGGATCATGAGTAAATAATAGCCCATGTGTATCCAATGGACAATGTACACCTAATAGATTGCGCATTCAATGTGAACCATATGTGTATCCAATGGAAGATTAAAAGGATTGTGTGGGTCATTTGTATCCAATGAGTCATGTGTATCAACTGGAACATGTGTATCTAATTGTCCATACGCATCCAATGGATCATGTGCAAGCAAAACATCAGGTGTATCCAATGGGCCATATGTATCTAATCGTCCATATGCATCCAATGGATCATGTGCAAGCAAAACATCAGGTGTAACCAATGGGCCATGTGTATCTAGCATCCAATGGATCATGTGCAAGCATAACATCAGGTGTATCCAATGGGCCATGTCCTTCCATGTTTGGAGTTTGATGATCCATCTATTTATATGTAATGCTTAGTAAGGTGCTGTAGTGTAATTGTTATTTATACCAATAATTTAATAAATAGGTCATTTATAATATAAAAAATCCTCTGTTTACATTATTTTATGCATATTAAAATAAATCTGATCCTAGAGGTATGGTATGTGTTGACCCATTTATTTGTTACGATGGAAACTATTTTGAGATGCTGATGATGCATCTACATTTCGGTTTTCAATTATCTATTTTGAAGACCAAGTGAGTTTTAGTTTCGTAATATTTTCTCTTCTCTTGATTATTGAGTATATTTACCTATCTGCCATCTTTAATATTATACTTCTTACTTCAACTCTAATTTTGATTTCATTTATAACTCCAAATCCTACCTGCCTACCCTCTATATAAAAGGATAGGGGCAACATTCCTTACATCTTGAGTACTGTAATCTGATCGCCACATTTAGCACCCACTCCCTAATAAACCAATAATCAATATCTAGGTCAAAAGAGAAAATCATGCGAGTTCATGTATAGGAGGAGGTGAAGAGACTTTCTTCAAATCAGCTCTAAACAAAGGTTTTGATTCATTTTGCAACATACAGTAAAACCTGTCTTATCCGAACACCCATGGGACCAGCCAAAAGCGTTCAAATTGGCAGGTGTTCAAATTTCGAGGATTTTGTTGGTCAGGGGAGGGGGGATTTTCATTGTTCAGTCCACTATATTGAACACTTAATACTTAGTCAGAAAACAATGCATGTTGTTGATGAGTTTATGCTACAATAGGCCTATAGCCTACATGTATATGCTATGTTTTATTTACATTTTCATTATTTTTGGAAAAATAACTCTTTAATTTTGGCAAAAAATTTGTAATACACTGTACTATAAGTATATGATAGTCTTGTACGAAATCTAATGCTTATTAAATGACTTAAATATTATGGTTACATAGCACTGCTTTACTTTAGCTTGAAAAAGTCGTTCATTGTTGTTTGTTTCTTGGCACTTTTAGCATTAGCAATATTTGAGTAGATACCCTCTTCAATTAAAAAGAATTTTTCATGAGTGCTCATTCGAGATGATGCATAATCTTTCAAAATATCAAGGGCATTCAGGATGTCAGATGTGCCTTTTTAGGAGGCATTTCAGTGATAGGATATTACGAAGTTGAATTTTTTCTCTTTCTTGTGATATAATCTTGTCTGCAAATGTGTCTGTGTTGTCTTTGTGATTATAAAACATTTACTGATTGAATCCTAGCTATCATAACAGACCCATTGGATATAAAACAGTTAAGACTTGTTTATAATCCAAATCAAAAACATCCAGTTAATTTAAAATATGGATAAACCAATTATCTCCCAGATTCTCACATTTCTCTTAATCCAAATCAAAAACATCCAGGTAATTTCTAATAATGATAAAACAATTATAATCTTGTCTGCAAATGTGTCTGTGTTGTCTCTGTGATTATAAAACATTTACTGATTGAATCCTAGCTATCATAACAGACCCATGGGATATATAACAGTTAAGACTTGTTCATAATCCAAATCAAAAACATCCAGTTAATTTAAAATAAGGATAAACCAATTATCTTTCTCTTAATCCAAACATAAAACATTCCGTTCTTTTCTAATAGGATACACCAATTAACTGGTCCGTATTCACACCTTTCCTGTTGTTTTCCACAAGTAGGGATGTCATTGAGACTTAAATAAGTTAATTAATTAGGACAATATTGGTTCTTTGATTACATTGCATATGTAAAGATAATAAGAACTATAACATCGACTCAATATGTGGCTATTATTGAAATGTCCAGATAAAATGTTCAGATTAGACAGGTCAGTTTTTCAAATCTGGTTGTTCACTGTTCAGATTAGGAGGTGTTCAGATTTCAAGGTTTTTATGTCACCACCAAAAGTGGTGACATATTGTTATGGTCTCCGTTTTTTTGCGACGGCGGTTGGTGGTTGGCGTCCGGTGGTTGGCGTCCGGCGGTTGGCGTCCGGCGTCTGTAACAATTTCTTACAACTTCCTATAACTTAACAAATACTGTTTAGACTGACTTCAATTTTTTTCTGAATCATCTACATGTTCTCAGAAGTTCAAATCTGACTTTAGATTTGACATTTGACCTTCAATGACCTTCTCAAGGTCAAAAAGGTCTTTTTTCAACTTGCTTCACATTGACTAAATTTTTTTTCAAAATCATCTACAGTAATACTTGTGTATAGTGAACATTTTTTTGCCAAGAAAAAACGTTCACTGTAGGTAGGTGTTCACTAGAGAGAGGGTAATTTATACAGAAGTCAGTGGACTATGTGCGTAGGAAGGGTGTCCACTAGGGACAGGTGTTCACTAGAGAGAGGTGTTCATTAAGACAGGTTTTACTGTACATGTTCTCAGAAATTCAAATCTGACTTTAGATTTGACATTTCACCTTCAAATCTGACTTTAGATTTGACATTTGACCTTCAATGACCTTCTCAAGGTCAAAAAAGGTCAAAAAGGTCTGTTTTCAACTTGCTTCAAATTGACTAAATTTTTTTTTCAAAATCATCTACGTGTTCTCAGAAATTCAAATCTGACTTAAGATTTGACTTAAGATTTGACATTTGACCTTCAATGACCTTCTCAAGGTCAAAAAAGGTCAAAAAGGTCTGTTTTCAACTTGCTTCAAATTGACTAAAATATTTTTTCAAAATCATCTACATGTTCTCAGAAATTCAAATCTGACTTTAGATTTGACATTCAATTACCTTCTCAAGGTCAAAAAAGGTCTGTTTTCAACTTGCTTCAAATTGACTAAATTTTTTTTTTAAATCATCTACGTGTTCTCAGAAATTCAAATCTGACTTAAGATTTGACATTTGACCTTCAATGACCTTCTCAAGGTCCAAAAAGGTCTGTTTTCAACTTGCTTCAAATTGACTAAAAAAAATTTTCAAAATCATCTACGTGTTCTCAGAAATTCAAATCTGACTTTAGATTTGACTTAAGATTTGACATTTGACCTTCAATGACCTTCTCAAAGTCAAAAAAGGTCAAAAAGGTCTTTTTTCAACTTGCTTCAAATCGACTAAATTTTTTTTTCAAAATCATCTACATGTTCTCAGAAATTCAAATCTGACTTTAGATTTGACATTTGACCTTCAATGACCTTCTCAATGTCAAAAAAGGTCAAAAAGGTATTTTTTCATCTTGCTTCAAATTGACTAATTTTTTTTTCAAAATCATCTACATGTTCTCAGAAATTCAAATATGACTTTAGATTTGACATTTGACCTTCAATGACCTTCTCAAGGTCAAAAAAGGTCAAAAAGGTCTTTTTTCAACTTGCTTCAAATTGACTAATTTTTTTTTTAAAATCATCTACATGTTCTCAGAAATTCAAATCTGACTTTAGATTTGACATTTGACCTTTAATGACCTTCTCAATGTCAAAAAAGGTCAAAAAGGTATTTTTTCATCTTGCTTCAAATTGACTAAAAAAATTTTCAAAATCATCTTCATGTTCTCAGAAATTCAAATATGACTTTAGATTTGACATTTGACCTTCAATGACCTTCTCAAGGTCAAAAAAGGTCAAACAGGTCTTTTTTCAACTTGCTTCAAATTGACTAATTTTTTTTTCAAAATCATCTACATGTTCTCAGAAATTCAAATCTGACTTTAGATTTGACATTTGACCTTTAATGACCTTCTCAAGGTCAAAAAAGGTCTGTTTTCAACTTGCTTCAAATTGACCCAATTTTTTTTTCAAAATCATCTACATCTTTTCAGAAGATCAAATTTGACTTTACAAGTTCTCAGAAGTTCAAATCTGACTTAAGTTTGAACTCATAATATTGTGAGCAACTAGGTGGTGACATTTTGTCATGTTAATGCCTTGTTTTAACATGGGAGTCAATGGGAGGAAAAAATGGGACCGAAAAAAAGTGTTCAAATTGGAAGGTGTTCGGATTAGCCAGGTGTTCAGATATACAGGTTTTACTGTAGCTGAATAAATAGATGTCACCACTTGTTATTTTTATCGTACCTAACAAGAGTTACGATATTGTAGTCAGCTTGACAGGCGGTGGGCGGCGTCTCACTTTCAAGACTTGTCTACAGGTTTCCAGCCAAACCATTTGAGGGATTCATCTGAAATTTTCAGGGATGTTTCTACATATCAACGTCAAGAACTGATTAGTTTTTGGGCATTCTGGGTAAATTTTAAGGTGGCCATTTTGGATTTACCGTCCTAAAATCTTCACTTTCAAGACTTGTTATATATGTTACACAGTGATAAGTTCTAGAGCTGATTAACTTTTCTGCGGCCATCTTGCTTTCTTGGTCAACAAGACCACAATGCTGTGTTTTAGGTACGATATTGTTCACGTCTGTGCCTTGTTATGTGTTTTGGTTTGGCCAGACTACCATAGGCTTCAATGTGAAAACTTGCAATCATCACTTAATTCATGATTTATCAAAAAGTGTTGGTTTAATCTGTCTAAAACTTGTATGGCTATATATCTTAAAATGCACACTACTATTCATTTGTGAATCCCTTAAGCAACAAAACAAAATGCAATCAATTTGTTTTAATATGTTTATACAACAGTCATATATTTTATAATATTTTTAGTTGGCATATTCTATGTGCACACTTTAACACATGAACATCAAAATATAACTAATAATAACAATGATATGCATGATCAAGCAATAGCAGAGGTAGTCAAAAATAATTTTAGACCAGACCTCCATGAATTTAGTCTGTAACTTTTCTTAGGTACATTCATAACTAATCCTTCTAGTAGGTCTGGTCCACTATTTTTTTAAGACTTTTTGATTCAAATTACACAAAAATCTACATGCATTAGTACTACACAAGCCTCAAATACAGAAGGTTTTATCAGATGAAAATTAGCCTGGTGTCAATTATATTGTCAGGGTGGGAGCTTCTGCATTGCGTTCATTTTAATATATACCTTATTCCTTTTAAGGAAGATACAATCGAGGTCAGTTTGTAATAATAAAAATATGGTATTTCATGCCTAATAGGGAACATGCTCTTGTTAAGGTGTTATAAGGTACAGTATTTATAATGTTGTGGAGCCCCACAGTAATGCTACAACATCTCGACATGAAATCATCAACACAATTCAGGACACTTGTTCAAACCTGATTTTGAGTAAACAATCTACAAAGAACCTGAGTAATTCAAAATATCTTCAGAATCTTGCTCGACAGTGTCACACAGAGAACATTGATGTTAGTATCACATAAAACACAGATATATAGGATGTTTCCAATCTAACAACAATTACCCCACATTCTGTGTACATGTTTTCGCTCATAGATGTTGTCATCCTCATGACATGTATGTCCAAATATACCAGGAACACTTAGTTATATTTTTCTGATTTGGCCATCGCGTTGCTGAGAAATTGTAATATTAATGTGGAGCTACGGAGACATGAAACTGGCATATAAGCCTCTATAAAAGCAAGATGACCTTCCAAAATTATGTCATCTTTTTTATCACCTTGGGCATGTTCCCCATATGATCAAAGTGCAAGTACAATTTTCCATTTCGAGTGAATATTGTATAAATAATGACTAATTGAAAAGTTTAATATTGTTAAAATGAGTAATATACTGCACTTGGTTATGCCACATGCTATACTATTTTAAAATATCATACTTCTGAGACTGTAAAAAGCAAATTAATTTTTTTATTTAAAGCACATTGACAGTTTGCCAAAATAAATCTTCCATTTAGCTGAACTATTTTTTCTCTTTTAGCAGAATTATTGAACTTTTCAAAATTGCTTACTTATGAGGATGATGTGCACTGACTGGATGACACATGTCTTAATTAGTACATTTTTATTCATTGTTGAAATAAATAAATAATACATTTTACTAGTTTCAGTAATTGGTATTAATTGAATGACTATGAGTCACAATCATGAAGTCATTCATTGATTTATCATCATAACACTATATTCCATATTTGTGGTAGCATGTTGATGCAATTTTCAAATTAGTCTGGAGATGATGTGCTGTGGTTTATCTATTATTCTGCGATTCACTTTTATTCAATCTGACATGTTGTTTCTATATTGTTGCATGATTGGTGCATCATATCTATGGGGGGGGCATAGCCAGCAAAAGCCAAGGGGGTGCGAATTTTTGGGTTTGCATCATTTCGAGCAAAATAGGTAATATTTTTGGAGTGGAATAGAATGAATTGGGGGTAAGGCCTGAAATTTTTTATTTTAAAAATTATATTGTATATCATGGTGCATTCTAAGCATTACCCCCTGATTACGCCCATGTATCTAAGGCCTATTCCATTCATTTCAAAGTTTTTTGTTCCATCCCATACATACTAGCTATAACTTTGATACAAACAATGCAGCCAAATTTTCTGGAAACATTATATTTAGCTGGAAAAATTGTTACCTTCTTTGTTACCATCAGACCCAGAACCATAGTGGTAATTTCCAGCCTCCATATGACAAATATACAGTTTTGGTGACGATTCCTGCTTTTTATGACCCAAAAATGGCTGAAAGTCGTTCATGGAAGTTGTCATCTTCAGATGAAGGCATGAAATTCTGTGAATGCAATTTTGAAACATAGCGTTGATTTTGATGGATCTATTCTGATTGGATGATTGGGTAAGGCTATGTAAAATGATCTCTAATTCAAAGAGTGCAGATCCCAGGTAGCAGATGAAGTTATAGTTCACAGAATAATAATAAAACATTTGACAAAACTGTAAAGGGTATTAAAGGTCAACATTTTAGGACTGAGCTACTTAATATAATATCAAGAACCTCCACTATAAGGGAACTCAACATATGTGTATACAGTATATATGATTGATAATTATTGAATAAAGCACACATAGACTATAATAATTAATATGTAACCACCATACATAATATAAAAGCTATAAATATAATAACACAGTACAGCAAACTAATTATACTTCTAGTACTATGAAGCCTTTTCATCAACCTTTAATATAAGAATATATAGATTCATTTATATGATTTAATTATTACTTCATTGTAATTATTCTGTATTTTAGCAATCTAACACTCAACAGCCCATCATCCTCCTATTATAAAACCTTAATTTTAAAGCATGTAAATTGTGACAATTTATATCAAAAATCAATGTAACAGTAATCTGCTCTTAGAAATTTTCATGAATTGTGCTCTTATTCCTAGTATAAAGTACAGGGTGTCCTGATATAAGTGATGTTACATCAGGGACACCATGTAGTCTAAAGTACAGAAGGCCTGTAAACAACACTGCTGTATCTTCATTGTATCTAACTTGGTCATTTTGAAGTGAATTGTTTAAGTTTAAAAAAAGTGTTTTGTATAGACTCAATGTGCAGTCTCAATTTCTTTTATTCTTTTGTCCAAATTATTGAGGTGAAAATGTATTATTTGTTTTATCTCTAATGCAAAAACAGGTGTAAGAGTCATTGGTCTACAGGTCCACATACGTGATCCTAAATGCTAGATTAAGAGATACCAGCAGATTCGATTATAAACCTAACTTGTGTACTCGAGCAATAAAGCAATCTTATCTTTAACGACACAAATATAACACTTCCTCTAACAATCACGCATGCACTAGAAGTGTACCTAAACCTTATGTGCACCATACATTAACACATCTGAGCATTCAAATGCTTTTGAATCATTCAATAAGTTATGATAAACATATTTTAGAAATTATTAAATGTACTCTGTATGAAAAACATAAGTTCTCACAAACCTGCCTCCACTACCTAGCTGAAAAACTGAAGGATACTGTAATGAATCTTGGTATTTGATTGCAGCAAAGTGAAGACAGGCAATCATTGTTTCTATCAGTACCATCCTCTGATCTGATATGAAGCAAAGCCAAAGCAGTCTGATCAAACGAAAACCAAACCCATGCAATACAGCTGTCTATAGACAATCAACAACAGGGTACCATGAATACTTCCATTTCTATCATAATAGTGTCTTAAATTATGCAGTTTCAAAGCTGTATTTCTGCAAACATCCTCTGCCCTTATCCTTTTCAGCATTCTTCCGATATACAGTTAGTTTACTGTAAATAGCAAATCCATACTATTGCTCATTAGCTCCCTACAGTACAAATCCATTTTATACACACACTGTACAGTTCAGTACAGTTCAGTACAGCTGTACATGATACATCAGGTATGCCCGTATTTGGTATTAAGTGTCTTTCAACTTCCTTTCTTGGGCATACTAAAACACTGACCGATATGATATGATAAATTACCACCCAGTCTAATCTGATCTGGGCAACCAATGAGATCAAGCCAATTTTATCCCTGGCTGAAGAATAATGAATATTATCAAAATATTACGAATTATTATTATCAGTTGGTGATGATTCTTCGAATCCCTCACTCTCAGTCACTAGAGCCCTCTCGAGGATGACACGTCCTTCCTTATAACGTTGATTTTCTTCTGTTGCAAACTCATAAATCCATCCAAGTTTGGCTTCACAGTTTTTACATGCAACATCTCGCACCATGTGTCTTCCTGTCAGCATTACACGATCTTGAACCTCGCTATAATTCAGGTTCACAACACGCTTGAAGAGAAATGCACGACCTGTTGCTCCAGTGAACCGGGTAGAAATAAGTTCAGCACGATTTGTTAGCGGAGTGTCACAGCTAGCACATGAGAATAGTCTTGAGCCACCAATATGATTCAAAAATATGCGCCCCATTCTGAAAAAATCAAAATGACACAACACATATAATACTTCACTTCCAAATAAGGATAAAAGCATTGGCTTAGGAAAAATTAGTAAAGTAACTAGGCCTATAGCTTCTAGGCCAGGGAAAAGTATCTGTAAGCTTTTTTAGATTCAGCTTTATAATACTTTTCCCTGGGCCTATAGTCTAGTAGTATGCTTAGTATTTAGAAAATACTTCTTATACACTAAGTCTACTGCTACTTTTCTGTAACAGTTGGCCTTGTTGTTGTTGTTGTTATGACCTATGGATAAAAGGATTATGGTCCCTCGAATCTCCATTTTGGAACTGAAGTCAAAAGTAAACACAAAATATTTGGGTGTTTTCATTTCGACCCAATTTCACCTCATACAATGTTATATGCAAAACATAAAGAAGGACTAAACTATGATATATATAATGATTATTTACTTACACGTGTTTTTTGGATGAATGAACGAATTAAAAGGCTGTAGAACCGTGTTTTTTGACGCTGATTTCGACAAATCTGCTGAAATTTTTTCTGTGATCAAAACAAAGTGACGTCACAGGCCACGTGCTTTCCCGCGAACTTTAAAAACAAAACAATGACAACATTGAATACCTTGAACTAGTTTGTACTATATTTAAGGTGAAACTGTTGGTGTCATTTCTCAGTGCATACTTTATTGAGGAAATTAAGGAGCATCTATGGGCGTAGCCAGGCATGCAAGTGCAATGATTTACTGAAAACTATTAATTATTCAACTGAAACTGTGGAAATAAAGTCTTATCCTGTTCTGGTTATCTCAGTCAACTTTGCCTTGCATTCTAATTTACCTTGCCTATAAAAGTGCCTTGCCTATAATAATATTGCCTATATTTGATCATTCATTCAATCATTTCAATGCTTGCACTATCCACAGGCGGTCTTTTGCCGAGATTTCTTAATCAGACCTTACAGGACTTTTTCCTGTTTTGATCAGTCTGGACAGGTCTTTAATGAAATTTTAATGATTTCCTGTTGAGTATGATGGAGTCTGCTGCAAAAAGACAACCAGGCTTTTTGTAGAAAGAGCAGTTCCATTCTTTCACCAGTCTTCATCTGACTTATTGTTAAAAGCTGACCACCTTATACTTCCATCGCAAAAGAGGACTCATAGGACCATAGGACTCAATGGGACTCCACTGGAGTCCATTGGCAGCCACTCCATGGGACTCAATGGGACTCCACTGGAGTCCATTGGCAGCCATCACATTTCTCTATTGTGCAAGATACTAACAGTCTTCATAGGTCTCTAGAGGACTCAAAAAGTCCATTGAAAAAGATCCGTCAGTGTAAACGTGCTTTATGCAAACAGCAAGCAAATGATCTACCTTTGTGAGGTGATAAATTTTCATAACCTCCCCTCTGTCTTCTGAAAATTTAATCTTCTGACAATTTACAAATAAGAATATTGATTTAAATCTCGGGTATGGTAGATTATCTGCATGCCAATACATTTATGATGGTTCACTCACTCTAACTATATAGCCTGCGCCCCTTCACTTTCTAACTTTATCTAACTAATTCAATGAATCTTTTATTATTTTATCAACGTATGTCTCTTGATGTCCACGCAGGCGCATTGGTGCATTACGTCAACTTCCGCCAGCCATCTTCCCGTCAAAATTTTTGAAAGTCTGATTCGGTGAAAGTTATCGTGTTTTTACACGGTTTATAAGAGGTATCAACATGTTTTCGTGGAAAGATGATAAACGTAAGAAGGAAATGGAGGCATTTGACTCCGCTTTGGATGGATTGAAAAAGCTTTATAAGTCAAAACTACTACCTTTAGAAGAGGCATATAAATTTCACGATTTCCATTCCCCGCCCCTCGACGAACCTGACTTTGATGCTAAGCCCATGATCCTTCTTGTTGGTCAGTATTCAACTGGTAAGACCACATTCATTCGTTATCTACTGGAGCAAGATTTCCCAGGAATTCGTATAGGTCCAGAGCCAACAACTGACCGCTTCATCATTGTGATGCATGGCGAACAGGATGGTGTTGTTCCAGGAAACGCACTTGTCGTGGACCCAAAGAAGCAGTTCCGTCCACTCTCAAAGTTTGGTAATGCCTTCCTTAATAGAGTGCAATGCTCTAATGTAAACAACAAAGTTCTGAAAAGTATTTCAATTGTGGACACACCCGGAATATTAGCTGGTGCTAAACAAAGCGTTGATAGAGGATATGATTTCACTGGTGTTTTGGAATGGTTCGCAGAACGCGTAGATAGAATTATACTCTTATTTGATGCACATAAGCTAGATATATCTGATGAATTCAGACGCAGTATCGAAGCCTTGAAAGGACATGATGAGAAAATCCGAATTGTTTTAAATAAAGCAGATATGGTTGACCATCAACAGCTGATGAGAGTTTACGGAGCATTGATGTGGTCACTAGGGAAGGTCCTTGGAACTCCAGAAGTTGCTAGGGTCTACATAGGTTCTTTCTGGGACAAAGCACTCCATTTTGATATGAACCGGAGGCTGTTTGAACTTGAAGAACAGGATCTTTTCCAAGACCTCGCCAGTTTACCCCGTAACGCAGCTTTGAGAAAACTGAATGATTTAATCAAGAGAGCCCGTCTAGCCAAGGTATGTAACGCTTTGAACAAATTTATTTATGTTACAATGCTAATCTTATGATAAACATTTATGTGTCTTAGCAACCTTCATTACTCAGATGTACTCAATAATTAAGAAGGGATTATTATTGTGTATGTTTTATTAGCTTTAATAATCAAATTGTAATTTTAGTAATGCATTTCATACTTTAACACATCAAGATGGACAGCTTAATTATATTTGGAATTCAAATGATATTTTTGCAGTCTTTGATTCACTTAGGGATGTGGTTTAATCATGTATTTATTGTGCTTGATTCATCTCTAACCTAAACACATCAGGTCATAATGATTATATTTGATATGGTTGTAGATAATAGAGTTTGAGTTTCGATTGTCATTTGAATTTGATACATATCTGGGTACTTTAAAACATTCTCATTTTTTGTTATAATAAACAAATTGAATATCCTTACTTATACATTAGTTTATTTGAATGTGAATACTTGACATGTTACTAAGGGTCAGGTAATCTCAACATTTTTGGTTCTGTTCGGTTTGGTTTTTTGAATCCCTGGGTTCCGTTTTCGCTTCAGTTATTCTGTTTCATCCCATTATTACGAATATTCTGCAAGAATTTAAAACAAAATTAGCCTGTACGATCATATATTTAATCTCATGTTATAGGCTACATCTTGAAATTTCACAAATGTAATACTAAACGTCTAACTGTTGAAATTATATATGTGTCAGCTGAATCTGAAACTTGGATTTTAATATCTTTCTCATCCGCCAGCGTTTTTCTCAATTTCCACACCAGATACTTCTCTTGTTCTGCGTTATTTTAGCGAATGCGCGTCCCCCATTAACGTTCCCTAAAAAACGAACCGAACGAACCATTGAGGCAAATGACGATTGGAGCTCTGTCATTTTGGTTAATTGTCTGACCCCTACATGTTACTATATCTCATAATTAGAATCTGTATTTGATGATGATACCACAGTGAAATCAGAGCAGTAAGCTTAATATTAAATTGCAGCATTTCTATATGATATAGGTGCAGTTTAGGATCAATCACTGAAATGAGGCTTTATTTTTACAAACATGGTGTTCATTTTCCCAGATCTTGTCATTACTTTTGAAAGTAAGGCAATTACCAACTTAATATGACTGAATAAATCTTTTAAAATATAGTGTTTGATAACTACACCAATTTTTGAAGCGTAACTGCCAAAAAATCAGTAATTTTGTACATTATATAATATTCGCCATTGAAGGAAGTAACATGGTTGGCTCTGTCACAATTATCTCTAGGGGTACCCCAGGGAATGAGTTTGACATTTAGTGAGAAAAGAATGAGACAAGATGGCTGGTCTTCCGGTTGCAGATTTTCTTAGGACATGTTTTCCCCATTCTTTGATGATTTTGCCATGGTATGTCAGCAGTTAGCACTTAATCTCTAGTTCAAAAAAATGTTATTAGTTTTCATCTAGCACCATCATGAAGCGATAAATTCGGTTTTTGTTCCTTACTTTATCACAGACCCCACTCTGAAGATCTGAAGAAATAAAAATGAATAACTCAAGCTGCAAATATGGAGCTTTGTGATGATGCTATGTGAATACTTATTACATTTTTTGAATCAAGAAACCAAGCATTAACTGCATGCATAGTGCATACGATGATGAAGAAAATTGTTCAAGAAATGGGTTTAAATAGAGAAAACAAAATATCTTTCGAAAATCCGTTTTGCTATCTTTGATAAGTTGATAAATTGGTTCAGGGATGATATTTCTCATTTTGGATTATCTCATAATCCTAATATGTGTCATTTTATACAAGTTGTTTCTGTTTATATATGCAGGGTTGAATATTTAGATTTCCCTGTTGTTGAAAGGCTGTAAATTAGTCCTGGCTTTTGGACAACTCCCTGTAACATGAAGCTAATCCTTGACAACAAAGCTTAGGAAATACACATACAGAAAATACTGTGAAATGATTCATTGATAACATCACAAGCCTACTTTACATGTTATGGAGCTTGTTACTATCACAGTATTGGCAAATATTTGAGATGCAAATCTAGGAAATAGTTCAAATACTGTTCTCTATTACCTGAATTTCTCTCAGACTAATGTGAAGTACTTTGGTAGAATATACTTCAATACATACTGTTAAACCAGTGTATTCCTTCAGTCATGTAATACCTTGATGGATCAAGATGACTTCAATATAGATTAGGTGATTTAAACGATGAATGATATAGATGTATAGTATTTGGCATATGTTTGATGCGCAAACATTCCTGGGTTTATATTCAGTCATATTATCTTTCCATAAATATCCTATCATACTTTTTTATCATTTGTAAAAAAGATTTTATAATGGCCTGTTTGGGAATTACCCTTTGCCTGGAATTACAAGTTTATTGATTACCCATCTATTTGATTCTGGGAAACTATAAAACAAAAAGCTTTTCTAGTAAATTGCAACCAGAAGGAACATTCATTTTAGCAATGCTCCATTTGTGAGTAATGATCCATCGCAACCAAAATATCAATAATACCATGACTTAGCATACTGAGAATTTACTTAATGTTCATGTATGTATCCAAAATTATTTGTGAACTATTTGCTTGCCTTGAAGTCATCCTTTATCATCTCATTGCATGCTAACTTGAATTTGACTTATTCTTTCTACATATTGTTGAAAAACTGACACGAACTGAATGACATGCATAACAATGTTACATTTTTTGTTGTTGTTGAAATCTTTAAGTTTTCTGTTTTAATCTCGTGATAAGGCAAAACCTCTTAGAAATATGTTACACCGAGTGCAATTTAGTTGTTTAGTACATTAATTTGACACAACTATTTTTATATTCCTTTTAAATACATAGCTGCTCTTTTTAATCAATAAATGTCAAATAAATTATAGAATTAATGTTAATGATTATTTCTCTGTTCTTTCAAAAAATACTCTGGTTAATGTCCATTAAAAACGAGGTTTGCTTTTCAAAAGAAACTTTACATGAATGCGTATATGTCTTTTTTCTCAATCAATAAATTATCAGATCATTGCTATTTTAAAAATTCAGCAAGAAACTCATCATATAAAAATAAACTTTGTTGATGTATTGAAAAAATGTAGGAGTTTATATAGTGGTTGCAAAGTATGGTATTGGGTTACTCCCATATACCAACCAACCATAAGTTGGTCCAGGTCAAAACACAACAAGCTACCTACAGTAATTAGTTTGTCAGACTCTTTCCCTTTTCATTGTTTGATTAAAGGGATAAGTTCATCTACAACCAGAGCTTTTCATTGCCGGAAAGACTATATTTTTGTAGAAGAATATCAGAAACTTTTTTACAGGGATACTTAAAGAATGAAAAAACTAAACTTAAAATTGAAGCTCAACATCTTTGGCTCGCCATTGGGGCAAAAAATGGCTTCTGCAATCTGCCAAAACTTTGTTATTCACCAAGTATACTTTTATATATGTGAGCATCAAATTCATAATCAACTGTATTATGCCAGTTTGAAAATCTTCACAGTAGTGTGCTCAGTTGATAGATATGATTCGCTGCAAGTTACTGGCAAACTTTACTCATCATGTTGCAAAACCTACTGAGATAACAGTTGAAAGCACAACTGTATATCTAATAATGGCTAAGGTCAAGTATGCTACTTCTGAATTGTAAAATCTCATAAATAATTCATACCATTGGTCATTCTACTTATTAAACGGTTTGCAATGAAACTCCCCATGGCCTCGAATCTCCCTCATCTTGTCATAAATATACTCTCAAATAATCATTACATTGCAATCCTAGGCAAACTGAAATATTTTGTTTTCATTAACAAGGGTGTGTACATTGTTTACAGGTGTGGAACTTGTAGTAGCAAATTACAAATTTAGATTATATTGTGTAGAGTTTACTTTATTATGAAACCTTTGAGATGACCTCTTACGTTTACAATCACATACTGATGGACAATATCATGATAATTTTAGAACAGTAAAACATGTATGTCCCACATACCCGTCTTTTACTGTTGATTAGTTCCCACATGAAAACACCATAACTACTGGCCAGATTGAATTGAAAACAGATTCTATAATTGACCATACTTTTTCCTTATGCTTTCAGGTGCATGCTTACATTATCAGCCATTTAAAGAAGGAGATGCCATCAATGTTTAAAAAGGATGCTAAGAAGAAAGAACTGATCAGAAATCTGCCGGAAATATATGCTCAACTGCAACTTGAACATAATATCTCGCCAGGGGACTTTCCCGACTGCGCTCGCATGCAAGAGCAATTACAACATCAAGATTTCACAAAATTCAGAGAGTTACGACCCAAATTGCTTGAGACAGTTAACAATATGTTAGCCAAGGATATTGCCAAGTTAATGGCAATGATTCCATTGGAAGATCAACAATCTGCGATTGATAATCCAGAGGGTGTGTCTGGTGGAGCATTTGATGCTGTCAACGATAGTCCATTTGGTATTGGCAAAGGGGAGGGAGCAGATTTAGGTCGTGGTGAAGAAGAATGGATCGTTGAACAAGAGCGTTACTCTTATGATGACCAATTCGAAAACCTGAAACCAACTAATGGTAAAATAACAGGAGCTGCAGCCAAGGCGGAGATGCAGAAATCTAAACTTCCTAACTCTCAACTGGGAAAAATATGGACACTTGCCGATGTGGATAGGGACGGAATGTTGGATGCTGATGAATTTGCTCTTGCCCAGCATTTGATTAAGATCAAACTAGATGGACATGAACTGCCCACTGAACTTCCAAAACATTTAGTGCCACCATCGAAGAGAAATGATTTTTCATGAATGTGATTATTTTCAAAACAACATATAGACAGTGAATAGGTAATATAATGTGTATGTATGAATATGTATGACATATGTGATATATGAAGTATTATGACATCAGTGCAACAGGGAAATGTATAAAACCAAAGTGTAACTTATAATTTTTTGCTTATGATTATAGACCAAATAACCAAATAAGCATGTATTTATTATCATATTAGTATGGTGATGAATTTTCCATTTTTTAAAACTGCCAAACTCATAAATGCTCAATGTAATTGATGTCATGAAACATTTGATTTAACTTTGAATAAGATTTGGGAATATCTAAACAATTCATAGAAATTAAAAAAGATGAAGGCATGGTCATGAATCCCATCTGATTCAATTTTTTACAAAAATGTCCGTTTGTCAAAATATTCAAATGTTTCATGGTTTTCAATTGAGTGCAAGATACTTTTTAAATTCTTAACTAGGTTTAACATGTAATTATTAGTTCAATATTGGAATGCAAGATGCAATGATGAAATTTTAAGGGTAGTGTTCCACTCGAGAGGTTGTCCAATTAGAGAGGTTTATTTGACACAAGGGTAATTGGTAAAAATGTTCCACTTGCAGAGGTGTTCCATTTGCAGAGGTGTTCCACTTGCAGTGGTGTTCCATTTGCAGAGGTGTTCCATTTGCAGAGGTGTTCCACTATCCAGGTTTCACTGTATCTTAATTGTTTTCCAGATGCGATATGTAACACTGTGTAATATCAAGTTAGTTGCAGTCAACAGCCACTAAATAGCAAGTTCTGAGTGTAAAATGTGTGAAATTATTGATAATGATATAGAAAGCAATGCTTGAGATGAATCATGCAGCATGATCCTTAATATACTTATAAAAGTATTAAAACACTGAAGAAATGCTTAATCTTGCGACTTTCAGCATATTACTGATTCATCAATATCTAATTCCTGACTTATACTAGATTGGATAGGGGAATGGGGGATGGGGGATGTACATGTATATACTACTTGTATTCTTTCAATTGGGCTTGGGTCGAAAATTTCTTAAAATCCATCACTGTTTTGAATTCTTACAACAGGATCTAGGAAAACAGTATGCTTGTCTAAGGATTACTGCACAATCGACTAATGAATAGCTCCTATATAAAACCTATAGCTAGGTTCCATATTAAGTCCCCAGACTATTAGGTTGCATTGATCCAACTGCCAGCTTTCTAATGGTGATCAAATCCTGGATAAGTTTCTTTTCCAGATGTTTTGGTTTAGTATGTGTAGTAATATGATGCAAGTACTTATCTTTACAACTCTGGTTATAGAATATGTGTCATAATGAGATAAGTGGAATCTAGGTGAATAAAATAAATCACTGCTCTGTTATTTCACTAAAACAACAACTGATCCCCACTTGCTGTTTTCATTAGAAAATGAAATTGGTCAATACAAAGCAAAATGATAAGTTAACATGGGAGAGGAGTCAAGGACTTCAGAATTTCCAGTGTTTTGGTACATTTTACATAGTTTTTAGCCAAAACTGTCAAAAAGCTCCCCCTCCCCTTGGCAAAAGTTCCCCCTTGGTAAAAGCTGGCCAAGGCGTCACATGTACATCTAAACTTACCGTATGGAAATATTTTTTAATTGACAGCTTTACACTAGAAGTACAGTCTGTCTACTAATAGCTTCAGAAAACTATAAGGCTGAAGTAAATTGTAAGATTTATAGTATTAGACAGATAATGAGGCAGAAATTGTTAACCCTTTCCCGACGTGAATATAAGAGGAAAATGTTGGCCCTGGTGACGGATAAGTAAGAGCAGTTTTTAGGGGAAAACTGAAAATTACCTATGCCCAGGGACCTATACCTTGAATTTTATCACTGAAATACACTTTTTAGTAAGGACTATCATATTAGAACAACTTGTGAAAATTTGGTGTAAAAATACTGAATAGAACTGGAGATATTATCATTTCATCGATGTATATAAATAAAAATTATGGTGCCAAAAGGAGCCTATCGTCCTGAAAGGTATTACATAATAGGGCTCCATATGGAGCCCATCGTCGTGAAAGGGTTAAAAATGGAAAATTTTGTTGTGCCTTCCCAGAATGCCACAATTTATATATAATATGTATTACTAAAAAAATATTACTCATATCTTTCACATTGTGTATTTCACTTGAGCCAGGAAACTATATTTCCTTATACAGCTGTATATAAATATCATAAATAGATATGTTAAAGCAAGTCAACATTATGACATAAGTCAACATTATGACATCAGTCAACATTATGACATAAGTCAACAGTGTGACCTCAGTCTGGTAGGTGAGTCCCAATATTGGCCAAAAAAAATTGAAACTGCAACATTGCAGATTACTAAGCTTTATGAAATGTGAAAAGCTTTATGAATTGAATGTGTAAAAGCTAAGTAGACAGCTTTATAAATAGCAGCGTTTGTTATTAAGTATCTCCTTCTTTAAGTGGCTAGATAATGCAAGCATGTACTTGGTAGAAAAAGTGGACTATAAAAGAAAAAAGAAAATGCCAATATTGGGTTGGGTTGAATATATTAATGCATTATTTTAAAAAAGGATATGCAACAGTCCCATGATGCACTTTTGTTCATGATATAAATGCATCATGGGACTGGATCATATCCAGTTCTTATTAATCAGTAAGTACATTTAAGAATATTCCACTGGTTGCGCTATTAGCACAAGTAAAAACATAAAGACTTACTATATATGTAATATATATATAGGCTTATTGTAAAAAAAGTTTGTACATGTATAAATGATCATGAGTGCATTTATTTATGATTTAAGCATTTTTGTGATTGGATCCTTTATGCAACAATTATGTAAAACACCAACTTTTAGTTAATTTCAAAATTAAAGTAATTCATGATTTTGCACAATTAACATGTTTGATATAAATGATTCATGTACATACCGTGTTTTTTAATGCAATGTAGTAATATGTACATGTGAGGGATGTAAATAAGTTAGAAGACTATTGAATGTAGGTATGTTCATATGTTTTCTAATGGATAGACGTGGTCATAGGTAGAGTTTTTAGTGGTTTGTGCCACATAAACCTTGTTTTACCAAAGAAAGTTTTTTTGGTCGTCAAGCACATTGTTGCTTTGAAGATAAACCAGATAACTAATTTCACTATACAATGTTAATTTGCTGAATAAGTGCATGATATCAACATGTATAGTGAACTTAAAGTAGACATACAAAGTCTTGCATCAAGTCTTTGGTTTGCCTACTCTGCAGCATTCTGCTTCATCAGAATCCTATTTATCCAAAACTGCTTTCCTGTAGGAATATAAGGCTGTGGAACCTACAGTGACTACTGTACTATCTCCCTTATATTTCCCATGTGCTTGGAAGGGTAATGGTAAAGGGTGTAAGATAGGTGCTTGATGCAAGACTTCGGGTAGACAGGTAGTAAAGTATGGAATGAGTCAAGTACTGTAAGACATGTAAGATGTGTGTTAAATGTACATATGAACTATATGTATAAATGCCTTCATTGCGGAATGTCCATGTACCAGGAATATGTGATTTATATATAAAATTAATTTGTGATACTGAAGTCATATGTGCAATTAGTCCCATAAATGTTATAGATATATACTCACTCTATTTATATCAGATACCAATATGCCTAATGTTATGTTCTCTTGAAAGACTATGGTTATAATGTTTTTTGTGATGTTTGGTATCACTCAGGCGTTTATATGGTGCATTCATTTATAACTAATACACACCTAATGTATACCTATTTATAACCTGATGTATACATAATATACACCTTATGTATACATAATATACACCTATTGTATACCTACCTGAGAGTGAAAGAAAACATTGTGTGATTTGGTTCAATTTTTACTTGTAAATGAAATTATTTTGAGTTTTGCAATTAATGAAATGTAAAATATAATGAGCTATGTCTTCATTTTTCAGCATTTTAATGCCAGACTTAAAAAAGCTCTGATCTTTCTAGAGAACCCATACAAAGAAAGCCCATGCAAGCGCTGTGAAATTATGTTGATTTGGTGCTATTGTTTTTTGTGTAATTGTATCTGTATCTAATACAGATTCTCTAACCATTAAGAATACATGTTTTGTGGTCAGTATTCTAATTACTATTTATTGCAAAACAACCACCAATAAAAAATAATGGTCAGTTTTTTGTTTTTTTACTGGTAAGTCATTTAGTGTATTCAGTTTTGCATTGACGTCTATCCTCTCCCTAATATTTATTTCAACCTCCAGTGTCAAAGCGAAAATTGGGGAGTGGAGGGGCACTTCATACAAGGTTATTGCACATTGTTTTATCCATCCAATATTAGTGTATGAACTATAAATAGAGGTTGTACATATGAACATGTAATTGTAATTGCAATTATATCAACTGAGAATAGTATAAATTCTGCTTTAGATTTGAATACTTTAAAATGGTATATGATGTATTGTAAATGGTGTTTGTAATATATAGAGCTTCACATATTAAAAACTTTGCAGTGTGAATGTGGATTTGTAGACCAGTAGTTTGTACAAAATGATCAATAAAATGCATTCACATTGAAATAAAGCTTTTGGTGAATTCTTTGTAAAATAGAGTCAAAAGAGAACATCTTTCAGGTAGACTTTCAGTATCATTGCTTGTTCTCAATCAGTTTCATTCTATGTCCATGTCCCAAGTCTCTTTTAAGTGTTAAGTCATGTTAAATGAATATCACTTTCCCATCAAAATAAACCATATTCCAAATCCCATATTCAATCCGAGACTTAATCCTGTATTAGCCAAAATCCAATTGATTCATAGAATAATTAGGTTATTGATACTCAAGAAGGAATATAGATTTTATCCTCAGGACGATATGACTTATATTGATAACCTCTATATATCCTCAACAATGCCCTTACAGGGATATATCAAAAGGAGCATGTAGTTTATCGCAAACAATTTCAAAAGATTCTAACTTGAATTATGAATATTTTCTGATCATGAACATGGGTGTATCTTTTAGATCCATTCATTATCTTCAAGAAAAGTATATATAATGATTATTTAGTTAATCAGACCTAAGTGATATTGAAGGGGCAATGGACCAATCAACATACTTTTTCAAAAATGTTGACCTAATTTTCACTAAAAATGCAACCTATTATTATATTGTTAAATGCATAATTAGAGTGTGCTTTGAGACATGTTCGATTTCCTAAAAAGAAAAGTTGATTGCTCCCGGGACTTTAAAGATACTGAATTTGGATGACCAAAATGAACTGAAACCAATGGATAGCATGAGATTTTACAATGGAGAAATAACATGGGGAACACTTACCTTAAAGCAATTAAGTTTTTCTTTCAAGAACTATTTGATACATCAAAATAAAGAAAAGTAATGCATTAAACATTGTAAAAAATGATTGCATTTTTGGTGAAAATGGGGTCAACATCTTTGAAAAAGTGTGTTGATGGGTTGATTGATAGTTAAATATCTCCGAGTTTGTTTGACTTTATTATTACTGTATATAATTTTCTTAGAGATAATGAATTGATCTAAAAGATAAACCTGTCTTCATTGCCAGAAAATAGTCATAATCCAAGATATAACCTTCTGAAATTGTTTGTTAAATATAGTATAATTCTGCAATGTAACTTAAATCAATAAAGATAATGACTTTGTTTAGGGGATTTGTTCCTTTTAGGCTCATGTTTGAACAAATTGGGTATATTGTGGCGGGAGTTATTTAAAATGAAATGTTTTTCACCAGTATGAAATCAATATGGTCAAAATAATAAATACTGGAAAGAATGGGCCGAGCGGAAACCCCGTTAATTAAAAATAAGGCACTGGAAAGATGATGTTGTGGCTTCGTCTTGTGTATGAAAGGATTTTGTATCGCTCTAATGGATGGAGTAATTTACTAATTGATGAGATTGAAATAACTGGACAAAAGAAATGAACTAAACTTTATAACAATAAACAATAAACTTTATTTACCTTGTAGGCTGGTAAGACATGATGATTTCTGTGAATGTAATCGAAGTATAAATCCAATTATAAATCCAATACTAGTAAATCCAGTTACAAATGATCGTAATTATAATCCAAAGCCTTTAAAATCCAAATCTTATGTAAAACTTGATCAGATACCGAAATATTCGTATACGTATTATCACTTTCAGATACAACTTGAGACTGATCGTCCCGGAGAACGATTGTGAGAACATTAAAATAACGGAACATAACTTTCCATATATGGAAAGGCTACCATAACAACGGGTTTAATTGCTCGCTACATTGTCAAAATATCTGTCAGATCAAAGATTTAATAAACCTACAGCGAGCTGTCAATCAAATTGTTATGTGAGAAAGTTTGTGAAATTGTCGGGCTAAATGCCGTAAGAAATATAAAACTTCACTAAAAATACATGTTTTCAAATGGCGATATCTCAAGAAATATTACATCAATTTAAATGAAATAAAAACTGTTAAAAAGAGCAATTCAACCTTGTTTTAACAAATAAATCCCAGAATTAATGAATTTGTAGTTATCTTGCTATTT